GCCGTGTGCCGCCTTCCCCTGCCCGGTGCTGCCCCAGCCCTCCTTCCCGCTGCCGGGTACTGGGGTGGCACGCTGCATGTACGCTCGCCAGACAGAAGCGGGTGTTTTGGGTGTGCTTAATTTGATGTCTTACCTTTAAAAGTGGTTAAAATAGTCGGTAGCTGTGCTGCTAAGTGCGTGAGCTAGGCGCAGCTGGCCGGTGGGCTCTGTCACCGGGGCTTTTGTCGCAAGGAGATGGTCTGTCGGGCGTTAGAAGCGACTTTGGTGGCAGCGCTCTGCCATAGGAAACGGCAGGCCCCATTATCATCCTGCCGAGATGAGCTGAGGCAGCGCCTAGTTTGCATATCAATGTACAGGCTCCAGCAACCGGAATTCCTTGCTCGTTCCTATCTCTTGATACAAGCTGTTTGTGCCAAGTTCAGCAGCGGTAGAGACTTGCAGCGGGTCACTTTTGTTTGTGTCTCACAGGCAAAAGGAATGCAGATGTTTGCCTTCCTCTGCATGTGATGGGTAGTTTGGGGCTCTGCTTAATCCATTCTAATTTAGTTTAGTACTATCTGTTTAGTTTCAGCTTCTGGTTTTCATGCCAGGCTAGAAGGCATTGGAAGGTGGTGAATCAGCGGACCAGCAAAACAACTGCATGGACAAGTTCTCCTTTTATTTAAGAGAGTTTTATCCAGTAGGAAGATTTTATCCTCTGATTATCAGGATGAAATTAACTCATGTAAGAGCTTGTATTTAGAGGAGGTACTTGAGAGACTTAATGAAGTCATGTTAATGTCTGAAGTATGGCCTGGACATTTCTGCTATGTGTGTCAGCCACCACTGGCACTGCTCCATCTGTTTGAGATTGTCCCAAGCTCTGTGGCACAAGTCTAGATAGTGTGTGTAAGCACAGCGGTTGTGTTTCCATCCTTTCTCCAGCAGCTGGGGCAGTGTGTGATGGTCCTGCCCCTAGCAGGGATGCTGAGATGTCTGGAATTGTCTTTTCTGAGCTTCTGTTTGTCTAGTGCCTTTCTGTGTGCAGGACTGAAAAGGAGCTGCCAGGTCATGAGCAGGCTCCTCCAGTTGCTTCTCACTCAGCTGCACAAGCAGAGCCCAGAGGCGTGCTGAACAAAGGTCTGTTTCATACCCTTCCTGCTCTTGACATCCTAGCCTATCTCTGCAGCCTGTTGCAAGCTGAACTGCCCTGCAAGTTTGTGTTCCTTCTGCATTCACACCATGCTTTACTACTTTATCAAAAATAAGATGTATGAAGAGCTGGCCTCTGAGGGTGAACACGGTTAGCGTATGCCAGGTTCACTGTTGTCATTTTCCTTGACTTGGGGATTCTGTGAAGTGTGGAGGAACTAGAATCAGCTGCCATGCAGTAATGCTATGCTGGCTTCCCAGTTATTGGGAGACTGTAGCTCAACATGTCTGCGAGCTGCTGGGTTTGCAGGTCTCTGCTGCAGTGCCTTGTAGAATCAGCGTGCTGTGTGCCGTACGCTCAGAACGTGGTGGCCGAGCCATGAACAGTTCTAGGCTTTTGGTGGCTTCAATGGGTTTATGCAACTTCACCTCTTGTCAAGCCAGGTGTTCAGGATTTGCAGTGAAATTAGTTGGTTTTAGGGGGGGGGGTCTTACACATCAGCTGAACCTACTCATTACACCTGCAGCAGGGTCAGCACTCCTGCTTTTGATTAGCTGTCCGTCACTGGTTTTATGTGTGAAAAGCTTATGAAACTATGTCTGCCTTGTGAGCAGAGATAATAGAACATAGTTGCATATTGTTCAGTTTTTTGTTTTGTTTCTAAGGAATGCTGAAAGGTTGTATTATCAGAGCGTTTCTTCTCCTACATGTTGAGTTGCTGTAGGTCCTCTTGAGAGGATAAGAAGTGTTGCATATTGTGTTCTTGTTTAAACTTGTGTTGGGGTCTCCTTGCTATCAGGAATAGAATTTGCTTACCCTCTACATAACCTCAGTTGATGAGGTGCCTGTACCTGGGGAACTGTGGGTGAACCAGAGAGGTGTGCGAGTCAGCTGAGAAACTGCAGTGACTTGTAACTTATGTTAAGCATTTTGGATCAGCTTTAGTATGGGGAATTTGCACAAGTATAATCTGAACTGGCTTGTTGTCTGGTTTAGCTTAACCAGTACAAGAATGCTCTTCTTGTGTCAGAATAGCTTGTTTTGGGTTAGGTAAACAAAACTGGTGTGTTTCTACAGAAAGGAGCAGAGTCTTAATTTTCCCTTACTTTTTTTTCAATTATCTTCAGAAAATATCTCAGTTGGGCCCTGGTAAGTCTCCTGCAAATAAGCTGAGTTTAGCCTGTTAGCTACCTGTTCACTCCATGCCTCACACCATGGCAAATCGTGCTTTATTTATGTGCAGGTAATTTAAAAGCAGCTGGGTAACTGCTTTCAACTTGCTTTGCATGGTGGAAATTAATACAGAAATAGAGCAGGAGGTGATGGAGACTCTACGTCAGACTTTGAAGACATAAAATGAGCGGACTCTTTCCTAATAAGTGCAAATGATGATCTGTTAATGGTATAATGATGATTTCAATACTGAATTAAAGTTGGGTGAAATAAAAGCACTTCCTTATGGATACATGCACATTACTGTTGAGTAGGTTGGGGGGTGTGAAGTTTAATAGCATTCAGTATGGCTGCTGCATTAACTGTGCGCCCATTTTCCTTGAAATAGGAACAAAGCTAATCTCCCTTACCTAATGAAGTAGGTGATGCTGAGTATTTAGCTTGTATAGTTACCATGCACCACATGATATGCTGTAAGCTTATGCCCTGGTTTGCCTTGCTGCAATTTGTGTGTAATTATCTGCCATGAAAGAAATTTGGAAAACATACAGGAGATACTTTAAAAATATGTATTTTTATTTATATATGTAAATTCTAATGCTTCATGATCTCTTGTGATGCCTATCTGAAGTGACAAGCTTCTGACTTTGACAGAAGTGTCTTGGCAGTTTGGGCCCAGAGCTCTGAATAGCAAGACAAGTAAACATCTGGTCTCTGTTGCTGATTTAGAAACACTGGACGGCTAGTTAGTTGCATAACCACTAATATATAATAATATGTACAGTGAGGTCAAATAAGTACCAGAAATGTAGGGATGTTTGACTGTTGTCTTGTAATAACCTACCTACCTATGTGGCTGAGACTGCATTTGAGTTACTTGCCCTAATACCTGCCAAAATGCAATTTGCTCTTTATGCACCTCTTTATTAAGAAGCACTAATGCTCTGTTTGCTGCTATGTGCTGTGGTTTGTTTATGCCTCAAAATATGTTCTTGACTGACAGAAAATAGTTCCTGCTTATATCAGAGGGTGTTGCCCTAACTGGGGTTTAAAGTGAGCTGAAGCTTCCAGGGAAACAATTACTTTGATCTTGAAAGAAATGGTGATGTTATTATTGAAGCAGCAGGGTAGAAGTAGGTTAAAATTAATGTGCTGTCTTTCTCTTTTTGCAAGTCACTTATTTTTTAGCTGCAGATCTACGTAAATGTGGCTCTTGTCTTGTGAACAAGTGGAACAGATGTTGGGTGCTCTTGGACTGGGGGCATGTTTATGTGTGTTTGGTTAGTTGGAGCCTCTTTTATTTGTACCATAGAAATTCCAGCAATTGCAAGTTGAGAGCATGTTTGGAAATTGAACCACTGTTTTAACTACACAGCTGAGTGAAGATGTGGAGCGAGTCTCTGAACACCCAACAGATGAGAGAGAAGGAGAGATGGAAGTTCATGAAGATGCCAGCTCTGTTATTTTACCAGGTGAGAACTATTGACCTAGAAATTACCAATTTTAAGTGCCTGATAAGCTGCTTCTGTATTTGGGTTTGGTTGTGTTTTTTTTGGTTTTTTTTTTTTTTTTTTTTTTTTTAATTGCACTTCTGAAAGCAAACAAAACCCTAAATTACTCATTTTGGGGAATAAGTACTGATGGAAAGCCAAAGCATTTTTCCAAGGACTGAGAACATTTCTTTGTTGTGAACTGTGCTCAGTCAAAGAAGATTGAGCACATCTAGTTGTGAGATAGCTTAGAATGTCATCTTTCTTTATGCTGGTTGTATCTTACCCAAGTTGCAGTGTCTGTGATGGCAGCAGGTTGTAAGCCAAGTCTGTGCCAGATTTACATGAGCAGGTTGCAATATTGAACAGGTGTGCTTTTACACAGATTTCAGTCAGACTGTTCGACCTGCTTTTGAAAGGTGTGGGGCGGTGTTAAATGGGCTTACTGCAGCTCAGGTGTAGGCACTGTTGTTAGCCAACCTGAAATGAGTATCCCCTAAATGCTTTGCAGCTGTTCAAGACACACTTGTTTCAGTAGTGCACTTTTATGCATATTAATGTCCTAATTGCCTGGACTGCCATCTCCTGGCAATGAACTTGGGAACATGTGTGACTATGGGCCTTTATAAGAGGTTTGGTATTTGATGGGACTTACTAAAAGGCTGGTGTTTGCTGTGGTATGGAGCAAACACCAAACCGTGCTATTGTAGTTGAAGGGTAGAGTGTGGCATGGGCCGAGAGGGCCTCACTTACTAAATTGCACCACATGGAGAAGCCAGCATACAATATGCCTGCTTATCTCCTTTCATGTGTTGGGTTTTAATGCCCCTTTTGTGTGTCCAGGTACATATCGCTCACAATCAAAACATGATGTGTAATTCAAGAGTACGTGGACTTTGTCCTTACAAGTATTGCCAAAAGAAACGGTGAATGCACGGAGTGTGGGGAAAGCAGTGTCTGTGTACAAGTGAGGCTAGTGTGAAGATCTTCAGAGAATAAGCTTTGAAGGCAAGGAGACTGAGAGAGAATTGTGTTGGTCTTTGAACTTTGTTTCTGAGTTGTCCTTCTTGAAGATAAACCTTGTTTCCTTCCTCCCCTGTCCTTAAGCAGAGTTCCAAATTCAACGTGTGAAAAAGAGGCTCAATCTTTGAATGATTATGCCTCATGCTTGAGAAGGAAGCATCTATCTAACTGATCATCAAAACCACCAATACCTGTGGCTTTTTTAAATCAAGCTGAGTTTGAGGCTTACTTTCCTCTCAAGTGTTTGATCTTTAAATTAAGGCTACATAAATTCAGCCAAAATATCTGTATTTTAAAGTCCTAATCCATATTCTGTTTGGTTCCAGATAGTGAACTGGGTACCACTGCCCCTTCTTTGCGTTTCAGCAAGACCTGCCTAAAGAATGTTTTTTCAGTAATTCTCCTGTTTATTTATCTGCTGCTCATGGCTGTAGCTGTGTTCCTTGTCTACCAAACCATCAGTGACTTCAGGGAGAAGCTCAAGCACCCAGTGATGTCTGTCTCTTACAAGGAAGTATCCTTGTATGATGCACCTGGTAAGACTGCTAACAAACCAAATTAGTTAAGTTGTTGTTCACTTTTATCTTGGATTGTTTGTCATTTTTGGTGTTGATTCTCCAGGGCCCAGGGTGCATATAATGTTTTAACCCAGGCCTTTCACTTGCTTTTTAAAAAATCTTAGTTGTGTTGACTTTCCATGGAAATGTTAATATTGTACAGGAGATTTTTGGGGAGATTTTGGGAACTTTCATGCCAATAACATGAATGACAGCAGCTGTGGAGTGTCATACAACATTTCGTAGACAAGAAGTGTTTGCTGACTTCAGAATGGGCCCTCTTTTAGAGAAGGAAGATAACTCCTTATGGAAATACTTCCCAAACTGTATCATTCAAAAGCGTAGCATATAGGATGTGTATCAGGACCTCAGTGCTGCACTGGGCAGTGAGATGCTGTTGACAGTAAAGAAGGTGAATTTCTCAAACCAACCACAAAATAACCACAGTGCTGCTTTCTGCTTCTGTTCTACGTTGTTTACAATTTGGTATTACATCAGAAGGCAATGAAAATGTGATGTGACTGCAGGGAACAATGTTGGCATAAAAATGAGGTGTGGCGTGTCACAGTTTGCAGGAGGGATTACTCCACAGAAGCATTTTTGAATAGTGAGTTCTATCATTGTTATTTTTTAAAATTATCCAGTAACCAGTCACATAGAGCTGCGGTAGGAAATGCAGCTCAAACAGTCATAGGTCAGTTTCCAATTTAAAAATAACACTTCTGTTTGAAGTGTTACCACATTTTACAAATAACCACTCCAGTAATTGTGGCTGAAAGGTGAGTATTTCAAGTTGTTGCCATATTCCTGTAGTTGTTTTTCTGTATGGTCAGGTAGGCTCAGCTCTGTAAGTAGGTCCCGGCATTTGGACCGTGTGGATCTGACTGTAAAAGCAGGCTTTTCCCTTTTTTTTTCATGCGAGCTTTTCATACAGCAACAGGAAGAAAATGTCATTTAAAGAAGCAGAGAAGCATACACAGCATACATATAAATCCAAAAGTATTGTCAGGGATCCCTGCCAGATCAGAAAACGTGAATTAATGTAGCCCTTTACTTCATAGTTCTATTAAAATGATGAGATGGCAAGCATGGAGCACTGAAGAAAAAACATAAAGCATTTTTAGACTTATATATGCTGACTGCTTTGACATCTTTTGTTTTGGCAGACAGGTCATCTCAGTTGTGTGCATTAATCATATCTAATAATTCAAATCATACTTTATTTTGGTAGTTGGTCTGGATTATCTTCAAGCAAGCTTGTTTCCAATAATAAAATGTGGCATATGTGGTATAACGGGATTTTTGGTTTTGGGCCTTGTATTTTGCTAGCCTTCTACAGCTGGGGTGGCTGAGGCTCTTTCAGTGCATGCCGTTGATCTGAAATGGTACGTTTATGGTATATATGAATGTCCATACAGGTGAAGTAGTAACCTGCCTACCCAGTGATATAAGCGATAAGGGATGGTAACAGTTAACACTTGTTTGATGGCTTTGATTTTTATCATGACATCATATTCAGCGAAGAGAAGATTCCAGGTGTTCTGAAGAACATATTTTCACTTTTATTAGATGAGCCAGTGATCTTTGATCTGTCATGTGTAGTGCATACATTATTTCCCATTAAAATTTGACATGTTAAAAGATAGTATCTGAAAACATGTACATGCTGAAGTGCTACGTGTCCCATTTGACTTGAGTAGTCTAACTTACTTTACACATTCACTTCATTTGGAGTGAGAGGGACTGATGTATTGGCCGCTCGCTTGCGGGAAGACTGGGGAAACTTAGTAGCTTCCGTGAACCTTGAATTGTTGTAACAGAATGTGAACTGTAATTTTTTTTTTTTTCAACACATTGTGGAGGTTCTGTCCTGATGCAGCTGACTCATTTGTCCTGCTCTAGAAAAATGCTGAGAACTGCATGGTTTCATTTGATTGCTTTGCTGGATCTTGAGGGTTGGTCGGTATCCTGTGGGATTAAATCCCAAAATTAAAATCTGTGTACTTGGGAAAGAAATCAGCTCTCTTCAATGTTTTTTTCCCCAAAACAGGTATTGCCTTTTACCCAGGCAAGGCTCGGCTGCTTAGCTGCAAGCATCATTACTATGATCACATTCCGCCTCTGATAAATCCAGGTCAGCCAGGAGACATTGAATGCACCACTCAGAGAATCAACTACACAGATCCTTTTACTAATCAAACGATGGTAATGACAATATAATAGAACAAAGCTTATTCAGTGGGGGTTTTCTGCTTGTAATGGTATTTGAAAGTAATAACATTTACCAAGTGATGCAAAAAATCCAAAATCCTTGCTTCTAGTTTTTTTCAAGCCATCTGTTCTTTCATTTTCAGAAATGTCAAAGACCCCAGTCAGTGTGTATATGTGTTACAGATTATCAGCTGTCATGTGGGTGTGTGCAGTGTGAAAACCTGAATGGGACAAAATAAGTAATTTTTCACAATGAAACTCTTGCTTCAATCCTACCCTAAATGAACTGGCAAGCATACTCCTTGATATAGTAAATCTGGGCTTGACTGAAAGCAGCAGCAGTTATTCCTTTAAAGCAGGATAGCTTATCTCTTCTTGTATGTTTGCTGGGAATTACATATTATTTTTGTCACACTTGGAAAAATCTTAACTGGGCACGAAGCGTTTCATTCCACTGAAATGCTGTGAGCCAATAGGATAGGTACATTGAGTGCTAGTCCCTCTTAAATTGCTTTTAGAAATGCAGGGAATCTAGCTTCTGTATAAGTAAATGTTTAAAAAAATAAAGTATTAAGTATGGTCATTTGTATCTAAAGAGACTGGTCAAATTGTTTTTAAGGAAACTAAATGTGAACAAACAAACAATCTAGGTGCTTGTCAGCTTTTTTCCTCTTCATGTTTTGCCTTTTGTCTAGTTACCATTTCTTTCTGGGAATCAGCTCCTTAGTATATTTGAAAGTAATATTCTAGGTGGAAGTTGAATTTAATTTCTGGTACTATTAGGGTCTGTTTGCATGTTTGCAAACTAAGAACCTGCATGTGGTTTATGCTGTGTGGTAGATTCATTTAGAAGCTTGCTGATCCAATGAGCTCTGGTCCTGCAGTGGAATGGAGAGGCACTGAGGCAGAGACCTCTGAACCACATAGAGCCATGTTCAAATTGGCCGAGTCCTTTGGCAAGGAGCAGCCTGCTGTTCGATGTAATGCTGCACTACTTTCAGTTGTAGTCTGCCTGCTAGCATTTTTTGGGTTGGTTTTTGTTTGTTTGTTTTGTTTTGTTTTTTCCTTTCAGCAGCTTACTTTGGGTGCTGGAGGCTGTGAAACTGTTCCTCTTTCTCAAGGAGAAGCCTGATGTTCTCCACATCAGACTCCACATTAACTTGTTTCACCTCAAGAGCTGAAAGTTCCTAGACTTTAATGCTCAAAACAGTTTTGATTGTCCTTCTGCAGAATGGAGGTTACAGGGCCTTGACTGGTAATTCCCCATGAACCCAAAGGACTGTGATGTAATTAAAGCAGATTTCTTAGAAAAACACTAACACTTGATGCAGAGACTTCACTTTTTAAACTAAAAGGAGGGATTCAATTTGCATTCTTGTTAGATCTTTTAATAGACCTATACTTAGTAGCGGCCAGGAAAATCTCAGCATGAATTAGATTTCTATAGACTATTAGTGACAGACAGCAAATTGATGAATAGGAAATGAGGACTCCTTTGCTACTCTCACCATCTCTCTTTGCTTACAGAAGTATGCTTTGGTTGTTCAAGGCCCTCGTGATGTGAAGAAAAAGGAACTGGTGTTTTTGCAGTTTCATTTAAATGGAACAGACCAAGATTTCAGTGCCATTGACTACCTTCTGTTTTCTTCTTTCCAAGAGTTCATCGACAGGTATGTAAAGGGATGAGCCTGTAACTGCATTGAACTTGCTACAACAATACTAGTGAAAGCAGGGCTTTTCCAGTAAAAGTCAGACAGGCTTTTATATGTTTTTTTTTTTTTTATGTTTGGGTTATGTTGGTGCTCTTTCATATCTTAGGCTACTAATCTTACTTTCTAGAAAATAAACTGAGGACTTTGTCAAAAATTGCCCTTCAGCTGTGCTTCAGCGATTTGTTGTTGTGCTTTCTAAAAGTTTGAAGTTTTTGCTGGCTTACCACTGTCTGCTGCTGTGGGTGATCAGGAAGCGTGCTGTCCTTGGAAGTGTGCTCAGGAAGTGCACTGAGAACACTGATGTTTCTGTAGCACTTTTTTTTTTTAAGCAATTACTCTAAAGATCAGATCTCTAGATTGATTTGTTGTGTTTTCGTTGAAAGATTAACTGTATTTCTTTGTATAACTAGCTTTATGTAAGATTCTACAGAATGGTGTAATTTCATAGATGGGGTTCTCAAAATTGCTTCATATTGGTTTGACATTGGTGCCATCAACCTTCTTCATTTTAATAGGAGTGGAATTAATCCTGTCTTGAACTTTCTTGAAAGCCTCGCTCTTTTTCCCACCTTATGACAATAAATTCCATACTTCACTGATAAATTTTTGCTTCAACTTAAGTCCTGTTCTTCTCTCTGAGATCCAGATTAAAAGCTAGACAAGAGATATTAGTCACAGTGAGACCTAACAGAAAGCCTTAATTTGTTTATAGTCAGATGCTGAGTGAAGAAGGGACAGTGGATTAAGGCCATATGCAGAACAAAATTAGGTGAGGGAGGGGAAGAGAAATAACTGATTTTATCATAACAAAGCATTCTTGGATGCTTGGACACAATCATACAGGTTGCTTTTCAGATGGAGTGAAGGCTGAAAGTGTTCAGTCATAGTATCTCTGGGTGGCCAAAGACCAGTTATCTGAATTTGTTTTCACAAAGCATTTCTCCTTCAGTGAAAGAGAGATCTTAAGTCATTAAGTACTTTCTGTAACTTTACTAAAATGCCCCATAAAATACTAAAGTTCTGCGTATTTTAGGCATTGATGTCTTAGGGTGAGAAAACACCATCTAGGAGTAGTGATGTAGAAGGTGCTACTTGTTCCTTCTGCGTTGTTATTTCTCAGTTTTTGTGGCTTGTGCTGCAGTTAGTGGTTTGTACAGTGGGAGCAATTCCAGCAAGGTGCACAGCTGTTTTATACTTTGAGAAACAAGCACTGAAACCACTCCCTGTGAAACTGAGCAGGAGGCACACTTGTGTTGCATCTGGTTCCTGGCTCTCTGCAGAATGAGCCAATTTACCAAGACATAACTTGGTCTCCGCATACTCAAGACTTTGAGGCCACATTTCTGTGCACATTGTATCAATTTGCAGATAAGGCATTTAAAGAGCTATTTCTGCCCAATTAAAGCATGTATGTCCTACTTAAGCTGGCATCATTTCTGCAAGCAAGCTGCAAGGCTGCATGCTGCTGTCCCAAACACTCGTGCCACTTGTTGTGCAAAGGTGGGTTAGATGGGCAAAGCAACAATAAGCAGTATTGCAAAGGTCCTAGCTTGAAGGCTGTCTTTGTGCCAGTGTAGGTGAATCAGTAACAATCATCTATAAGCTGCCTGGGAGAAACCTGGATTGCAACCTCTTGCCTCCAGGTTTGCCAGGTCAAACCAGTTAGTTGGCAGAATTGATCCCCAAGGTGTCACTTTGTTCCTAGAGAAGCTGCCCTGTCTCGGTGTTGGAAGGCACCAGAACTGAAGCTGGGAAAGTGAAGGCTGAACCTGGGTTATGTTTGGAGGAAAGTGGAAAGGCAGGAAATGGTGGTGTCTGTTTGGGGATGCATCCCTTGTGCCTGTTTGCAGCAGGTAGTAGGAACGTGAGTTAAAACTGGTTTTGAACTAACCCGGATAATGGTAAAATTGGCAAAGGTCTGTAGGCCTTTAAATTTAGAAGTAAATGGTCTGCATGTCTAGGTGAAATACAGTAAGAGCATTCTTTTATAGCATCCTCCAAAGCTTAGTACAAATTGTATGGCTTGTCTTGCTCAGTATTGTGTATTGCTGTCCTGGTGTCCCACGGCATGAACTGGACAGGCTCAGGGCAAGTTCAAAGTTTATGTTTTCTTCTGACTATGAAGTGCATGTGAAACCGTGTGCATATGTGGAGTGTACTCATTCTGTCCAACTTCCAGCAGAAGAGAAAAACTATTACCAGTTCATCAGCAGATGCTAAATTGAATTGATGGGAAGTCTGGACTAAGGTATCTGAAGACAATGCAAATTTTGTTCTTCCATACAGCCTCTAAAAACTTAAATTACTGGCTGCTGTTATCTACTTTTCCTGACAAAGTCTCTCACTTGCTGGTTATGAGACCATGTTATTAGCACTGTGTCCAGCAATTCACATGAAGTGTTATCAAAGATGCTGAGATATATGCTAAAACTCATGAGATTGTAGTTACCTTTACAGTTTTCTGCTATGGCTGCAAACAGCTTAGGTTGGGCTGGGCAGGCAGGATGCTGTAAATTATATCTGTAGGGTATTCCATCATGTTAAATTGCAATCCAAAACCCCTTGAAATTGGTGAGAAGAGTCCTGCTGTATCTAGACCACCATTTCTGTGTAGACAGTATTATGTGCAGCTCACTTTTGCTTTAAATAGCAATAATCGTATCAGTGAAGGCTGCTGCAAGGATAAGCTGTAAGCAAGAATAAAAATGTCATCTAAAGACTTGTGTCTTTAAGGGTTTTTTGAGGCATGGCACGTGATAAGGACTTGAGTAATGTCCAGTTGCTTCTGTCAAGGGTTTTATTCTCTGCAGTTCTTCTGTTAAAATTGGATCGACAGACTACATGAAACTGGCACTGCTTGCTAGTTTTGTTCAGGCCTTCCCAGACGCTGCTGAACTGTGTGCTATTGTTGTCCTGTGAGTTGGGGGGATACTGCCACTGGTGTTTCTCTTTCTTTCTTTTTTTTTTTTTTTTTTTAAAGACAGTAGCAGCTGCTGTCTGTACCATATTAATTGGAGGGAAGGAAATAATGAAACCCTTGCAAATTACCAAAAAAGTGTAGCTAAAAATACAAGTTCCTTTCTTGAACTATCATTAGTATAATACATGGGTTTAGGAGGAAAATCCACTGAACATGCTACTGATAATACTGTTGTTAGCGTAGCATGTAAAATAACTTACGGTCACGTGAGATGACGAATACCAGTCTGAACAGGTCAGAGTTTATTTAAGGCTCTAAACACAGCTCCATGTTCACATCTCTGGTCTGGATTGCTGCGTGCAGCTAAATAAATCATAACATAGAAGGGCTGAGACTTTTGGTACCACACCATCTGACCCTTTGTTAAATCCCATGGCTGGCTGAGAGTTTCCAGTTCTAGGGAGAAGCAAAAGCAATAAACACGATTTGTGTTTGACCCATCTGTGGTTTTGGCTCTTGCTGTTGTGTTGGAATCTGCTGGTGGGGTGTCCTAAGCTGCCTCTGGCTCTTGTGGGTTGGTCTATAAAGATCAGTGTTAGAAGGATCCACTGCAACACTAGAGACCAGTTCAGAATTAGGTCAGCAATTCCCACAGCTGGGACAAATACAGTCTCTCGTGGTCTGATGGTGATCTGTCTGTGCTGGGGCAATGGGCTCCCTGTTAGTACTTTGAACTGTTAATGGTTACCAGAAGGCATTGGCTGAGGGGAGACCAGGGCTTTGTAGTTCACCTGAATGAGACAGTGTCCTCTTGCATTTCTCTTTCTCTGCTGTGACGTAGGAAGTTTTGCATGGTCTTGAATATCATTAATATATTGGGAGACCCTGGTGCAGAGTATTCTGGGAATCTTACATCTAAAGGACAGTGTAATAGGTAGAAGAACGTACTGAACAACAAGAACAACAACAACAAAAAAGTGCAGCCTTTACAGGTTGTCTGTCTTTGGAGTGAAAAGGGAATTAAAAGAAACTGGAGAATTGTTCTTCAGCTTAAAAGCCTTTGCCTGTCTTGTGTTCTCTTAGTCATGTGTGGTTTTTAAGCTGCATTATGTGCCCTCTGCTATAATTTGTACAAAGCTTGTGCCTCACTGCTCTGCCCACTCCTCCCCCCTTTTATTTTCCTGACTCTGTGGCAGTGGTCTGGATTATGGGCACATGCAAGGAGATGCCGTCTTAGATCACTTCTCCGCAGGCTTCTCCTAAGATATTATTAATCTTTCTTTTTCAAGTCTACAATTACTGTTGAAGGCAAAGTGTGATACTGCTGTCTGCTTACCATGTAAGTTGTGGCTGTAATGTTCAGCTTTGTGTCATAACTTCCTGCCTCAATTTTCCATGTTGGTTTGGAAAGCTGTTCTAGGATGCTGTATTTAGTCATGCATTAGGCATATGACTGACTGGCAGAGTGCTAATTATGTATGTTTCTCTGAGTGGCAAAGCACCATGCTCAGCCATACTGCCCCATCAGCTGCTGCTGCTGTACCCATGTACCAAAGGGGGAAGAAATAATTGTCAGATTAGGTCTCCCTGTGTCATTGGTTTGTATGGTGAGGAGCATTCAGACAGCAGGCTTTGTTCTGATGATTTGTTCTTATCTTCCTTATTAGGGTTAGAGAGGTGCAGTGCCATCCTGTTGGGATCACTAAACAAACAGATAATAGTAATTAATAACAAAGATGTTCCTAACCTGCTAAAACACACTTGGAATGTCATCTGTCATGGGTAGTGAAGTGTATTAGCTTTTCTTTCCAGAAATGCTTCTCCTTTCTGTTTGCACAAACTGGTGCTGGTACAGGACAAATCTTCCTGATTGGTCTGTGCTTGGGGACAAAAGTTTGCTTCTTCAGCTCTGCTTTTCTTCCTCACTTCTTTGCATCTTTATTTGAAAGACCAAAATACCTTATCTTCCAATAGCCCTAGTCATGCATACCCATTGCCACATGAGCAAAGTATCTTTCCCATCATCTAGGAAGATGGATTTAATCTGAGTCAAAACCCTTTCCCTTGTCTCAAGGACCAGCATACCCTGTGATATCTCTGCAACCTGATATCTATCTTTAGTAAAAATCAGCAGTCTGTGCTTTAATGATTCATGACTCATCACAGTGGTTTATCCCTTCATCTCAAATGAAACCTTGTTGAAAAAGGAGCTGCCAAGGCTTATTTCACAGAGGTGATGTAAAGGTGGCTAAAATCACAGTACCAAGGAGCTCCAAGTAAACAGCGTGGTCAATACCCTGTGTCCTGTGCAGTTGGTAGAGACAGGATGGAGACCAGATATGCCTTAGAGCTGCCTCTTTACCACTTCCAGCATGACGTGTATTGGAAGTCTTAAAATGGCTTAAAAAAAAGACACAAAGCAATCCTGCTGTTCTGGGGTTACACATACCTGTGACTGCATACTGCAGAAACAGCCACGTTCTTGCAGCTGGGAGCCTTACACCAAAGGTATAGTGTTCCCAGAATGATAAGAATACACTAAATGTGAATTTCAAAGCATTTTAAGTATGTTTGCATTGCAACCAGTTTATTTGCATCCCAGAAATGGGGCGAATCATCCTGCCCTGCCTCTGGGCTGTTCCTTCCATCGCTTGCTTCTGAGCATTGTAGCACACTGTTGCCCGGGGTCCCAGCTCTGTTTCTTTCTGTCCCAAAGGTGACAGATGAGCAGAACGACACTCCCCTATAAGGCAGAACAATCCCTAGGGGCAGGTAGAACTCTAGGGGGGTAGGGCACCAGGGAAGTCCTCTGTGGTTAAGAACACAAGTGCAAGTGTTAAGCATTAATGTTACTACTAACAATGTTGTAGATATGCTGAATTTTAGCAGTTGAAACATAAAAGAAATTGTGGACACATTTTGAAGTGCCTGTAGGTCTGCCATTCTCCTGCTTACAGTGGTCAGATTCCACTCTGAGTTTGGTCAGTGAAGCAATGGTCTTTGTTTTTTTTTTTTTTTAGTCCAGAAAAAGCAGAATTCATGAAGGACTGTGAAAGTTCATACTCCAGCTGGAAGTTTTCAGGAGGCTTTCGAACTTGGGTCAAGATGTCCTTGGTGAAAACAAAAGAAGAAGACGGTAGCGAGACTGTTGAATTCAAACAAGAGGTAAAAAAAACCCCAAAACCTATGAAAGATTTTTGGATACCTCTTAGCTTAGTAAAAGCTAGTTACTGACATGGTTTCAATGATAACTGACCAAGAGAACCAGTTTTTAAGGCAAACAGCAATATGAGTTGGAAGAAGGGTGGGTGGGTTGGCTGGTTAAGTAAGTGAAACTTCAGGAGCTTGGTTTTTGTTTCATTGGATCAATTACTCCACTCACCACTGAACAGTTTTGGCTGCACAGTTACTTGTGTTGTTTCTTAATGTGGAGAGGTTCTGTAACAGTGTAGATGTCTTGACCTGCTCTGCTATTGGTACGGCCTAGTGACACATCTCAGGAAAACATCTCCTAATGGGGAGGCCAGAAAATCCAGGCCTTGAATATGTTAGAAGTGACACCTGTAGTCTGAGGTAAGGGTCCGAAGAGACTCACAGAGGAATATTAACACAGCTACCTTTAGTTCAGGGTGGGGAACAATTGCCAAAGGAATTGTCTAAATAATAGCTAGTATTGGAAAGAGGTATTGTTTAGCTTACCGCAAGGGCTGATGTTAGGAAGAAGAGGTAAACTTAAGCCTTGTGTCCTTTGTAGCATTCTCGTGTCTGCTTTTTGTTTGGGTTTGGGATTTTTAGCTGTTAAGTATCCTTAGAAGCATGGAGTAACTTAACTTTTGCATCATTTAAACCTAGAAAATATGCAGGTGAAAGATGCAAACTTAGCTAGAGGTGACATTAATTTGACTTTCATTCCTGTCCTGTTCACACTAATGGACAGGAAAATAATTATGTTTTGATTTTGTTATCATGCTTCCAGTGGTGGCTGGAGACAAGTGTCTCATTTTGTGGTGAGAAATTAGAATTTTAAGAGCAGTCTTTTCCCGAGAGTGTATCTTTCAGACACTACACTTTCTCTTAGTCTGTGGTACACTTGGAAAGAGTACTTTGTGAAGATCAAAATGAAGCAGAATCTTTAGTTCTACTGTCTTTCAGTTGTCACAGTTAGGGCCTTATGTGGCAAAGCCTTAAGGGCAGAGCAGAGCTGTGACTGTTAGCTGGGTATCCTCCTGCTCCACTGGAGGAGGACAGGAGGCAAATCCCAAAGACATGCAAGTTCCAAACTACTGTCTTAATTTGGAGAGGAAAGGATGCATCAGTCAGCTGCTGCCATGTAAGTACTAACAGCAGTTGTCTGTCTGTCATCACCTGCAGCCCTGTATCACTTGCCATTTGGTGCTTACCTAGTGTAGGATTTTTGAAAATCCTCCTTTGTGCACTCAAGTCTAGCGTGTTGGAAACAAAAGGCTGGCTCAGACTTGGAAAAAGGTGAGCTTTTTGTGACCATAAACATCCATTTAGTCCCGTAGTTACAGACTCTCTGATCATCTGGGTAGGTGAACACTGTGTAGGGGTTTTTATTTGTTTGTTTTGTGGGTTGGTTTGTTTGCTTTTAATAAAACCTAGGAAATAGGAATTGCTACAAATGTGAATTTTGGGCTTCAGATCCCTATTAGTAATACAGTAGAAGTTAAAATAGCTCAGATATAAATTGCACTTGCTTTGTTTGACAGTAAGTCTTCTCAAATTCCGTAAGGAAGTCCATTAGCCTTTCAAATCTAAAGCTGGATGATGACGTACCAGAAAGATGGATACAAATATTAGGTCAAATAGCACAGTTGGTTAGTCTGCTAACTAGCCCAGTAGTTATTGCTTTGTCTTTTCTTCCTTTCCCATTGCCTTCATTTAGCTTTGCGTACTGTTTGTTTCCTGGTGTGCAATGTTCTTGATTGAGTGTAGCTGGGGTGATGGCAGGCTGCAATAATTAAATGAGCTGTAGAAATATAGGGTAAGTCGGCAGCTAAGGTTTTTGACCAGAAAAGACGAGGTTGTGAAGCTCCCCTGTGCTCTGAATGGACACATACAGTGTTCTAGCTCCCGCTTCTACATGTTTGCAGCCTCAAATCTGGTCAGGGCAGGGTGTGTGGAGAAGACTGATAGAAATCTTGAAGTATGTGTAAAGAAACTAAGCCATGGTAGATGGGAGGTTTTTGTAGTAGGTCATCCTCATACAGTGTCTGCTGAATCAGTGTTTTCATAGCTGTAGTTCCTGTCACAATCCTGAAATTAAGTGACAGTACGGCTGGCTTCAGTAGTACCAGTACAGTGTTAAACTGATGTAGGACAAGCAGTAGCACTCCCTTGTGCACACACCAAGATGTAAATACTCCGTTGAGGGTAGGGGATGGGAGCAGTCCTGCTATTGTTTTTCAGCTGTGACTTGTGTGCTTGCCTGTTGCATAACTGCCTGGCTCTCCAGCGGTTTGTATTGTCTCCTAGCAGCAGGGCGGTTAGTGCAAACCGTGTTGTTACTGCCTGCGTACAAACCCTGTGTAGTTCCCTCTGGGCTTGGGGGTGTGTTACAAGACAAGATGAATGTTTTTCTGAGGCCTGATGCCTTAACACTTTGCTGATTGTGGTTCTTAAGACTATGGTTTCATGTGGCTGTAACATCGATCTGGTATCCTAAACTGTTCCCTGGTTATCCCAGCTCTGTGGAATTGTGCCGGCCCTCTGTGCCAGTCAGTGCTAGTTTCAAATGGTAACCTAGTTAATGGGCAGTACTGGGAAGTATGGTTTTAATTGTTAACACCTAGGCTTTTTTTTCCCTTCCATTTTCATTCTGCACTTGCTGGCATCTTCTAGTTTATTCTACAACTGATTTTTCAAAAAAAAAAAAAAATTCCTGCCAGCATCGTGTAGTTCTCTGCTAAATAAAAGTAATTTAGCATTCATTCATGAGAGCTTTCCAGATACTGTATTACTCCAAGTAAATGGATTTTGTAAATGAAATTTCCCCCTTGAAAGGGATAAACTATGTAATAAAATAAAGGCCCTGGTTACGAGCGTAAAAATGGTATTGCAGTGTTTTACTAAGTGAGAAACAGGGAAAGAATATGAATATGAGACAGATGGAGGATACTGCCCTTTCCATTCTTTGGGAGCCTATTGTTCCAGGTAGAAGAAGGCTGAAGTAGAAGTCCCTAAACAGTCTGCTGTTTTCACCTTCTTACAAGCCTTTTGTCGCACAGAAGACTCATTACACCACTGAAGAAATTAACCTGCATGTTTGTGGTTGTGTTTTTTTTCTTTTCCCCTCTCTCCAGACTAGTGTGGTTAACTATATTGACCAGAGAACTAAAGCAAGAAGTGACCAGCTGTTTTTTGTGGTATTTGAATGGAAAGATCCTTTTATACAGACTGTTCAAGATGTGAGTAACACTAGTACCTTTTTGAATCTTCATCTGACTGTACATGCTTATGGTTTGTGTGGACGTGCACACAAGCCTCTGTTACCTCACTCCAAGCAGAAGTTCAGAGGAAGAGTGAGGTTACTTCTGAAATTTCAGCCTGTGCTCTTCGTTATATCCAGTAATACATGTTCTGCGGAGGTCAAGACCATCTGCTGCCTTTCCCTTGGCTTGGTGACACTCGGCCTTCTCTTTGCAACTAGAGATACATATAGCTAAGAAAAAGCATGTGTCCTGTGCTCTAGCAAAGTGTAGCTTCAGGTCAACTCTGGACTTTTTGCTTAAATAAGCGTGCTTGGATAAACTGATTTAATGTCCTTTTTTATGAAGCAATAAACCTAGGCTTAAATCAGAATAATAAAAATTCCTATTTTTTATCTGTTATTAGAATAGAATTTGATACTACATTCAAATACACAAAAAGCATGTCAAAATTTATCTCAATGTGGTGCAGCCAGAAACGTATGATGTGCCAGACGAGGCCACTATCAGTCACTGGAGTGCTTAAAAGGTGTGTGCTGTGAGTACATGCACTTAAAGCACATGAAGCAGATCTTGTTTTCCTAGTGTCTGAGGGGAGAAGGTCAGATACATTTGCCCTCCCCAGAAAACTGCAGAACAACAAAGTGTGCAAAGACAGTGTTTAAAATGTTGCATTTGAAATGGTCCTACCTGACAGCCAAAGTCCATTGTCATGGAGTTCTTGTTTTCTTGCCCAAAACCAGAGTGTGAATGCAGATCGTGCAGGGCAGGAGTTGGTAGCTGGTCCTTTGCACTCCTGCTGTCATGTCTGTGCTGGGGCTGGGCACCCTCCTCGGTGCAGGCATCTCCCCAGCCTCAAGAGCTCAGTCCTGATGCCAGCATCTCCTGCTCCTCTGCTGGATGCAGTTCAGGCCTCTGCCTTCTTCGAGCTGAAAGCTGCCCTGGTTCCAGTGGATTGGGGGTGCCTGTTTCCTCTTGCTGAAGAGGCCCTAGCTCACAAGCCCTGGCAGCCAGCACTGCTGCTTTCAAGAAGATTAACAAATAAATAGGGAAAGCTTGGTTAAGACCACCTGGCTCGGGTGGTGACCTAGTGACACTGCTCTGCTGACAATCAGAGTTGCAGGCCCCAGGGCAAGTCCCAAAGCTGTGTGCTACTGTATTGCTGCCTAAGCCTAGCTCTGTTTGCTTCATCTGAGATCCTAGAAGTCATCCTTGTGCCTAGAGGTGCAAGGAGAATGGCAAAGTATAAATAATCTTAACTACTCTTGAACCAAATGTAGTTAAAAATAGAAATATAAAATACTTGCTGTAGGTCTGCAGAAACAGTTGCTGCTGTCAAAAGCTGGTTTAGCATTACAATGCTGTCTCGTTAAAGCTTTCCTGTAGCTGCTTCTTTTAGCTTTCTCTTTGGGAGGATTTTTAATGTGGCTGCTTATGTTTGTAAATCTTGAAGAAAGATTGTAAATTTAATCTAGAATCTTAAACTTAGCAATTTAACTGTATCTCTAAAGTTTTAAACAATTCAATATCCTGAGATAGTCCAAAAGGAATGTAGCAGCTAGTATGGTGTGTATTCTTCCTGATGGAAAGAATCAGAAAACTATGGTGTGAGGCAGATGTGTGGGAAAGGCACTAACACGCCACCATTGTAGCGTTAAAGGCATATGCTGCAAAACGCTTCAGTTTGAAAAATTGAATTGTTTGTTATTGAACAGGTGTAATATTATTCCCCTCATCTGACACAGCATATATTTTTAATCTCTTTCAGATTATCACAGCAAATCCCTGGAACACAATTGCTCTCCTGTGTGGTATTTTTTTGGCTCTGTTTAAGGCAGCAGACTTTGCTAAATTAAGTGTTAAGTGGATGATCAAAATCCGAAAGAGACATCTGAAGAGGAGTCGTCAAGCTATGAACCACATAAACTAAGACTGCCTTTTAACTATTCATAGCAGGAAGGATAGACGATAACTGGAATAAACTTCAATCAGCAATACAGCAATGAAAGATGCAAAACAGGTATGTTTTCTTCTGGAAAAACAACGGCTGGAAGAACAGCCTAGTGAACTGGCCTTTGAACCTCAGAAAGGAGCTAACTCTAGGACAGGTCTAACAAACTCATGCTTTTCTATTCCAAATTTAACAAGCTTACCTCAATATATGGGGGGGACCAGGAGGAAAGGAGAGAATTCACTAACATTCAGAAAGTCAACATTGTAGTGGTTAAGTTCTAAAAAAAAAAAAAAAAAAAAAAGGAGAGTGTTTGAATGCTTCTCAAACATGAGACCATTTAATTTCTGCATGAGCTATGACCTGCATCTGCTACTGTAATGCACTTACTTCTTTGACTGTGTTCAGGGGCAGGTAAAGCAAACAAAACAGTCTGGTCTCCCCTCTCCAAAATACATGTTAAAACAAAATACACTGGAATTCTATTATGTGTCATTTTTGATTTAAAGTATTGTGACTTTAATATTAAAAAAAATTGCTTCAAATAAGATATTGTGTACATTCTTTGAAACTACCTGCTCTCAGATTCATCTGGAGCTTTACAGGAGGCAGTCTGGGAAGGAGTATTAACTGCAAGAGGGCAAGGTAAAAAACAAAGCAACCCTATTCCTGATCAGTTCAACTCAAAGTAAACTCAAACAACTCAATACCTGGCCATCTGAGCTCATGACAGATCTCAAAGTATGTCACAGGCTGTTGCTCCTCCCTCTTTTCCTCAGTCTTTGGTAAGGAAATAATGAAAAAAAATAGTCTTTTATCAGCCTGGCATTTAAATGTGATTCTCTGTTATAACATGAATGCATGCTAACAAACTGTGCCGTGGTGGTGCAGTCTTTTTCTTCCTTATAAGTCCCTTGTGGTATCTACAGGGCAGCAGTGCACTACTGGGTGTTTGCCTGAAGGCTTTGTCACAAGGATCTTTTGATTCTTCCATCCTCTACTAACAGAGTATTAATATAGTAGTAAATGTATCAAAACTACCCCCCCTCTTATTTTTTGCCTTCTAAGGCAGAATTTTGGAACAAAATTTACTACTTTCAGCTGATTGCCAGAGCCAATCAAAGCACTGCATTGACCAAACACAGCCTTAAACAAGGGAACAACAATTCACTGCAACAAGAAAAACAAAACAGCAGCACTGGCTGTATAGTCTGAGCTAACTTGATAACACCCTTCTAGAAAAAAAAAAAAAAAAGCTTGGATGCAAGAACATGTGCTGTTCAGTCACTGCTCTCTGTTTGGTATCTTGCAACAATGGTTCTGGTCCAGCAGGGCCCATGTTGCACCTGCCACAGCTGAGGTGGGTTAGCACAGGGCACAGCACATGGTGAATGCAGCTAAACACCAGGGGAGCAGCAAAGACCAAAGAGTGCACTGGTGAAGCAAACTGTGAGAGCTACTTCATCCCTAGGTGCTGGTGTGGTGGGGAATGGGACAGAAACTTGGGGGGAGAGGTGAATAGTACAGGGGGAAGGGGGAAAACCCTACACTTAGACCATCCATATAAAGAAAAAAACTGTTGATTTTGCTATGTAACAGCCTATGCTTGTAGGAAAGCCTTCCACTGACTTCCCCTGTCAGCTTACAGTCCTTTGCTTTCCCAAATACACCACTAAGGGCCTCTTCTCCAGGTAAGACAGAGACAACTGAGTCTTCTTAATGCCTCACTAGCAAAGAAACACCAAAGGGTTCCTTTAACAAGAAGTGATATTAAAGCTGCTATTTTTTGGACTTTTGCAAAAATATTTAGAAACAACAGTTTGATCAGGAACTGATGCATCCTCCTGTATTTTTTGTTCTTGTTTTTGATAATGAGGTCAGAGAAGGTAGGCTGGAAGAGAGCTTAGCCCCAGCTCTCAGGTAAGTAGGGGGTGTGGTTGAATAACAGCTGCACTCCTTTCTGCAGTATGTAATTTTTTTTAAAATAAATTGCCATAGTCATCTACTTCAGTCACTACATCTCCCCTACCAAGATTTGTTTTCTATGAAAATGTTTTTACGAGAACAGGCCAGCTGACTGCAGACAAGAAACCTTTCTTTTATATACCTATTTGTAGGAGTGATTGATTGTAATGGCAAGTGTTGCACAATTTGTTTGAAATGGACCTCTTATAGCTACAGTGTTGGGTTTGTTACTTTTGCTGTCTGTATTTGTAAATTTTTTAACAACTCATAACTACAAATGCCAGTAATTTATTCTTTGTACCATTGCAAGGTAAGTGTTAAATTATACAGACATGAGGGAATCTATTTCCTTTAGACTGGAAGACAGCTGAAAATGCTTTCTATCTCAGACTGGGGAGCTTATTCTTCTATGGAAAAAAAATGCACTAAAGTACCAAATGGAGGTAAATTGTGTCTGCATTATAGTTATCTCCCTCTGGAGCTGGCACAGCATGCCCTTGGAGGCCCCAGTGTTTTAACACTGGGCTTCAGGACTTCAAGAAGCACTATGAAAATTAAAGGAATTTTTTTCCCCTCCAAATTTCAGGCAGCCACCTACGATGGTGGAGTCTGCTTTGGCCAGCTGATTACATAGTCTTTTTATATAAAACTGACATGTAGAGAGCACCAACTAATTGGTTTTGATCAGACAGAGCTCCTGCAAGTGTAATCCACTTCAGGCAGTGTTATTCACATTTCCTCTGTGAAACACAACTCCTTAGGGACAAAAATGAAGTAACAAAAAAAGTGTGATAGAGTCAACTCAGTGTAGTAGAGACTTTTTCCCCCCTAGAAACTGCTTGAATAAAGTCAGTAAACCTGCCAAGCAATGGATAAAACAAGCCCAGGACACCTGCCTCTGCTGTCCTGACCACCCCAGAGCAGAACAAAGCCTTCCACCCTACTCACCAAAAATTAAGCTCCAGGAGCCTGCTCCTCAAACACTTCTGCCACTCAGTGAAAAGCCACAGGTTATTCAGAGACATGCAGTTAGGAGGTTGCACATAAAAGCCATTCTAGTTCTCCTGATCTTCACAAACACAAAAATGTGATATACAGCACCAAATACAAACATAAAGACTTTATTGAATGCTGCTCAATTCCCCAAAGATCTTTCATTACAAAAGTTTTCCACACAACTGCAATTTAAGAGATTGGAATGGTACTCTGATAAAAGATGTGAAAAATACTTGATCAAGTAAACAGACAAGACTTCTATTGTCAACTTTTCACCTTTAAGAAACAGACTGCATTTTCTTCAAATAAAACAAGGAACTATTAACTGACATCCTTCCCACCATACTAAAAAAAAAGTAATCCCAATTTTGGTCTCATTCTTCAGTCTATGAGATGCTAAAACTAATGCAGAATGTCCAAGAGAGTCTCTGAGACCTGCACTACTCTGCAGGGAGTCCTTGGGCTGATGAGGAGCATCATTGATGGGCTCTCTGGAGGAAGCTCCATCCTCAGCTGTAGCAAGAGGAAACCTCTTAGTAGCCCAGGACCAAGAGGCAGCAAGAATGGGTTAGAGGCACTCACCAAGTGGTAGGTCAGATGCAGGGACTACCCCAGCCTGTTCAAGCTGACTTTCTCTCCCTACTTGGCCTCATTCTAATGTGAGCATTATATCAATCTAAATCTGAATCCAGACAGGAATTCAAGGACAGCACCATACCCAAGTTCCTTTCAGTGCTGTAAGGGGCACGTACTGAGTATCTCAGGTTACTGGTAACGTACCTTGGTTTTATTTGAGAAAATACAGCACAACTAGAAGCCTTTTCTATAATCTTAACCAAAGTATGCAGCAATGTGAAAAGTACATATAAAACAAGGAAAAAATGTACATAGCAAACTATACCACCTATGTGCAACACAATCAAAAATTCAAGTCATAATTCTCACCACTCCCGTAATTATTTCACTCATTAAGGATGATAATTCAGTTCTATGAAACGTTGGAAGTGACAGTGTATCAATAATTAGACAAATTTACAATATGCTGTGGTAATGACATCACTTAACTGCTGTATTTAAATTCAAATCTTTACATTTGCCAGAGAAAAAGTTGGCTGCTTCTATGATACTGATGAGGTTTCTTTTGCAAAACCTTATATATTTCAAAAGGGTACAAAAAAGTATGTCTGCCGAGTAGAGGTGGTAATTTCATTTGGCACTTGTATTGTGTGCATTGAGCACGTTGTGAGTGCTGTTCTGCTTTTCTGCCATCGCCTTCTTAAGCTTTAACTCCTCTAGCTTTCTCCACAACTCTTCACGTTCCAATTCTTTCTTCTTCTCTCTGTAGAAAAGAGCCAAGTATCAATTTTAGATGTGTCCTAAGTGCAATGTGGAGATGCAGTTACTTAACAACTGTGATTTACATCTAGTAATTATTCTTGTAATTTTTTAATGCAAAGCTATTTTTAGAGGCAATTAGTTTCCTCTGTTAAAAAGCAAGGGTACAAATTGGTAAGTTTGTGGTAAAACTCTAACTATGCTCCAACAAACTCAGACAACTGCCGTAGGGTGCTTTTGCACAGATGACTGCAATTCTAAGGAGGTTCTTGATCACATGCAAACAAATTAAGGGACTAAGCATCTTTGGGGGGGAAAGCATAACTATTGAAAAGACTTGGCACGTGGTCTCAGCTGGCCCAGGATAACGTATGCCCTTGCGTCCTTTACTCCTTTACAGTACTGCTTAGTAGGTTAGTAGGATAAGAGAGGTTTTAGCTGAGCTATCAAGTATTCTCCAGCTCAGCTTTCTTCAAACACCGCCTGAAGCAGCAGAGCCAGCACCAGGCAGCCCCTCAGCCACAGCTGAACCCAACTTTTCCCACACAGGAGGGAGAACACTCCCTGCCCAGGCAGGAGGGGGAGCTGGGGCCTTCCTGCTGCCCCCCAGGGCTGCAGCTTGCACCACACCACTGGCACACGCCTGCTTGGGTGCTTCTTACCAAAGCAACACCCAGCAGCAAATATTTGATAAGCAGTTCCACTACAGAGCCCCATAGCCACAGCAGTTGAATTTTGTTTCTTTTCAGCTGGTACATTTCAGATGTGTGTTCATCAATGGGCATTCGGCAGAAGAATCCGTACCTTTGCCTTTCTGCTTTATATGAGCTTGTAAGTTCATCAAAAAGCTTGCCATTCATTTCCATCAGGGTTTTCAGCACATTATATACCAGTGCCACAATAGTTCTAGAACAGAAGGAACACAACCATTGGAATTACTCAACACAAAATTAACTTCAGTAAACAAGCGCTCAATTTCTTCTTTGGACTCTGAGCTTCTTAAATAAGATACTGCTGTGAGGTCAGTGGCTTTCTGGAACAAAATACTTCATATAGTTTCCTCTGTGAATTAATAAATTGCATATTTAAACATTTTTTAAAATGCCTATTTAACCTTAAATTCCTGACTCTTGTAATTGCACAGGATATAATTATTAGTATTGTGGCTGTACGATAAAGCCATTCAATTACGTTGATGTTTAATAAACCCAAGTTTTAACAACAGTTTTTTAGAATTTGAGTAATGAAATATGAGTCTAGAAAAACAAAACTCCTGGCTAATAGCTTCAAGACTGGGCAAAAGAATGAGGCAGAGGAAGCCCAGGCACATGGTTTAATACAGCTACTAAAAGCTCTACCAGAAATGTTCCTGGGCAGCAGGCAGCTTTGCTGCACATGCCCCATTAGAAAACTGAGTTGAGAACATCAGGTAATGGTTTGCAGTACCGTAGCTTCTTTAAGAAACTAAAAAGCTTGAGCAATGCTGGTTGTGTCTTAGGTGGCTGTCCATATTTCCATGTTAGGTATTACTCTTCTTTTTGTGAAAGCATTTGATAAATTATTTTAAATATTGTGTTATCTCCTTTAAACCCACTCTTAATTATACAGAGAAATGCAAAAATAGCAATAAAATTAAACATTAAAAAGGTGCTTATCATTAAACTTATCACTAATCAAAAAAGTAGGTAAACTCTTCCCCATCTTTCCCTGTACAAGCTTTATGTTCTGCAAATTAACTTGCAACTCAATTCAAGATGCAGGACACAAACAAAATTAGCTTTTTAGTATTTCAATATAATTACCGCTTCTTTCAAATATAATATAAAAAATACTAATATTTAACTTGTTGCATTAAATATAAAATGAAGTAGCCACTCATTTAATTCCTACCATCCTTTAGAGTGGTAGGCATTGCTCTTCTCTGATAGTCTCTTTTCCCCTTCTTATCTCACTGGGCAGCAAAAACAACTTACGAAGACACTGACAGAATTTTGTTCATCTAAAGCAGTAAAGGACAGCAAAGCATAAATATAGCAGAAGCATCACTTGGAAATTGTTTTGGTCTAAGTAGTATTAATTTGCATTTTTAATTAACACATAAGATTAAATGTGATGACAGCATGAAGACCATCATCCACATTCCTCATACTTTTTTCAATAAATTCCAGGTCTCCATCATAACAATGCAGAACAGTGAAAGAATTATATAGCTGAAAACTACATCCATTTTAGCACCAATAATCTCACTGATTTCATATGATTTAAGTCAAAATTAAGTCACATTAACAAGCTTACAATCCAAACTTGAAACAGTAGACAATAATTTACAGTACTATAGATAAACATTACATACGGATTCCAGTGTTCTTTGGAGATCTTGTATAAACTGCCAAACATAATTGGTAGAATTTTATCAATGTTCTCCTCAATCAGGCTAAGAATATATTCATTATTCCAGAAGTACAAAGCTCTTTCTGCAACCTGAAACGCAAAGTTGAGGGGTCAACAGCCACAAAGTAAATTACTACAAGTTGTGTTTTTTATACTTTTTTTTTTTACCTGAAAATGTGAACTTGACACACACTTGGATATTTGCTTAAATAAAGGCTCTTCTATTTTTTTGAATTGCGTCGGTTCTATTACATCTAAGATTTCTTCAATTTCACCTAAAAACATCACCTGTTTGTATAGAAGAAACACATCAGAAAGTATGAGAACATTTTTTATCGCCATTGTAAACAGAAAGCAGCTTATGTATTAATCATGCAAAGAACACTATGTAATTACAATGCATTAGACATCCACAGGCTTTTAGCAGCCTGAAAGAAGTCAGTCATCAGCTTCAGCTACCAGGTTACAGCTCTCATCTTGGATTTTTTCTTTTGTGTAATTGCTCTAAACACTTCACAGAACTGCTCCTGTAGAATATGGTTTTTTACAGTTTAAAAAAACCAGTAGAACATTTCATTTCTTCAAGAATGGCTGCAGAGATTACCATTACCCAAGCTCTCCAAAATAGCTTTGGATCATTAATTCCCATTTTAAGTTACAACCAGAAGAACGCCAAGTAGGTGACCCAGAAAAATTTAACACAACTCACACAAACAAGACAACAGTGTTCAAGGACCCAACTTTGAAAGAGCTGTTGGGGGGTGGGATCTGGTGACGTAAAATCAAACTCTTGATTTTTAAACTTATTGTAACTACATAGAAGAAACCAGAAAAAAAATTACTTTGCCAAGACCATTTAAAGTTATTTTTATATTACAGAAAAATAACATATGTATGATTTTCCTGATGCTTACTCAGTACCTCAAATGCTAAGTCTGTCATGTTGCAGATGACTACCTCCAACCTGGTCTATATCTACTAAAATATTTCTCACTTCAGAAAACTTTCTCTATGCAATATCATAACCAGAATGCAACTCTTAATATAGTTTTAACATAGTAACACCAAAGACAAGACATACAAAACAACTGCATCAAGTTGCACGACAAACATGAGCACCTCAAGAAGCTTCAAGAACTGCAAGTTTTCCTGCAAGGTCTCTTGAAAAGCACAGGAAAGGCAAGGAACCTGCCACATATCATTTTATATCACAGCACACACCAGACACAACAGACAAAACCAACCTCTTTCTGACTGCAAGTTTTTGGCCAAAATTTGAGCAGTCCTCTGATTACCTACATTAAAAACACAAACAGGTTAAAGCAGAACAAGTTCCTATTATATATTTGATAAGATTGAAAAAAAAAAAAAAAGCACTAGTTTGCTTTTCCTTATCCAGAGGTTCAATGAAACCTGAATACAGCTAAATGTAGTTCCACTGAAAATAAATATTGTGCTGTCTCATTTAAAATATTTATGTTGTTTAGGTTATCAGAATAATTTAGACCCTTATCACTTCACGCTTTTCCTTATCCAGAGGTTCAATGAAACCCGAATACAGCTAAACGTAGTTCCACTGAAAATATTGTGCTGTCTCATTTAAATATTTATGTTGTTTAGGTTATAAGAATAATTTAGACCCTTATCACTTCACAAGAATGGCTGTGTAGTATTTAGATGCCTGCTGGGTTAAACTCCCACAATTAGTTACACTTGCTTCTGTAGATTCATAATTTAAAGTAGTTTACGTAAATACACTGTAAATCTAGGGCCATGTTCTGTTAATTGATTAGTTACACTTGCTTCTGTAGATTCATACTTTAGTTTGCGTAAATACACTGTAAATCTAGGGCCACGTTCTGTTAATTAGCTCGTAACTGAATGAATCAGTTATATACTAGTGAGATTTCGTATTTTTAAAGAACAAACCTGAACATTTACAGGTATAATAGCTCATTCTGCCAACACCTTCCCTTCCCCCAGAACAATGCAAGTGAGACAAAAAAATTCAGACAAGCACATTTGGCAAAGAAAAGCTGTGAGAACCTACCACGTATCCCTAATTGGACCATGAATTTACTGGTCTCAAAAGCAAAAAAACTGAGTTATCTGAAGAGTGCAGTTTTCAGCACTTGTTATGGTAAAAGTGTTGAATATACTTCGCTGTAGAGACTCATGTCCTCAATTTGATAGGGAAATAACATGTTCCTAGTATAACAGTGATAATAACAAGATACCAACTCCTTGCTCCTCAGAGAGAGTATCAGTTTCCAGCTTCCCTGTGCTTTCGTATTAAGAAGTGGATACAGGCACATTTATGTTCAAAGACTTTATTCAAAGAAATATTCAACATGAATGCAGATCTGAAATCTTGCCGCTCTTAACTACACAAAACTCTTTAATATTAACCTTCTTCCCTGACCTATGAAATTCCCATAATGTAACTTAAAACAGGGGGCACCTGCTAGAAAAATTATCTTATGTACAAGGACTGCAGGTTTAGGCTGATTTCTTCAATGTAAAGGCCACTGCACTTAGCAGGGTTAGGTAACAAACTCTTCTTGTCAGCTCCACAAACATCAGGACTGACCTAAGGCAGACTACCATAGCTACAAGAGCTCGGATTAAATGTCCTCTAAATTGACCCTGAGTGACAATATCTACCAGAAAAATAACAGTAAGGTACTCATGAAGACAGCCTTCTGATGGAGTTCTTAAAATATTACTTGACCTAAAGCCAAAAAAAAAAAATATCCAAATACTATCTCATCAGTTGCCCCAAATTTTAACATTTACTTCACAAGCATTCTAGAAAGTTTCTTAAAGCTTCACTTCCTCTCATCTTATTAAGTTTTATTCCTTTATAAAACCAATTTTACTATATGCTCAGAGCAGTGACTCTGCAGTGAGTTCTTGTATCTTCTCCATTCTGAACTCATCTTTACCGATTAAGAGGTGACCAGAACTGTATACTACGATCCAGACAGTCTCGGAATTGCACTATGGCTCTCCTCCTTCAAAAAGCCCTGCCTTACCGCTTCAAAGTGTGGGCTTGGATCCTGCATCACAGTTCTGTAAATTCATATCAGGAAGTTCTGACTTTATCACATTGTCACTTCATTCAGTCTTGCAGGCTGTTACATAATACTACACATTTTCTGCTCACATATCAACTTTAACTGTCAAAATGCCTGGATTGTTTCATCGCTTGGCTTAAGGAATATGGCTTATGCAATTCCTTCTCCTGGCTCTATCCAACAAGATACACTGGTCAGTAAGGGTATGTGGCAACACTGCAGAACAGGAGGAAAGAACATGCTTCAAGCAGACAAGGCAAATTTATAGATGGTCAGGTCTATCACCTTCCACCACCTACAGGTAACTTGTCTTCTGAAAAGGAACATCAACACTTAAGTGGCTGTGCAGCAAACAACCTTCCACTGAAAGGCTGGTGAAGACTGTTTCCACAAAGCTTTTTATCTTTTTTCTTTATAGAAAAATTTAGATTTTGCAGAAGCTCTTCATTTGCTGTCACACAAAGGGATAGTGTATTTAAATACCAGCATACCCCTAACAGAAAGATTTCTGATTGTCCAACAAAAACCTGTTTCTGTTCCAGCTGATCTGACACCAGTCTGTGTCCCCATGAGCTGCTGACTGCCCTGAGCCTGCATTCCTCTTTACGGGCATTGCCAAAGCCCTTGCATGAAGCACTGCAAACCCCTTTTTAGCTGAGCTGTCAATATGTGTTATGGGAGATTCAGTCTGGCAAAAGCCACTGATGCCTGAAGCACCTGTATTACAACTGCCAAGAGGCAGCCCAGCAACTGAAGAGACAGAACAGAAACATCGCATTTAGAATTTCGGAGTTCTGTCTAAATAAAGTGTTGTTATTTTTTCCAATTTTTATTTTGGGATTGTTTATGCCCTGAAACATTTCAGCTTTATACAGTGGCTAGGCACAAGCCATCAGCACCAAAAATGCTGAAATTTTAGTTCTTACCAGGAGAAGTAAGAAGGTAAGAAGTTTTTACATGCTTTCTCATATGAGGTAATTTGCATGATAGCAGTGGTTCAAACTTATTTAAATTTGTGCTGTATCTTGGTCACAGGTGAAGAGATAACTGCACTCTATAACACAGAATCTTCTTAACAACTGTCCTAGATTTAAATAATTTTCTTTTTTGTTTTTTCAAAAAATCACCTATGGATCACTAATCAACATAGCACAGATAGCACTGCTATATAATTCTAACAAGTTACACTGAAATACTTAGTTGAAATTAAAAACAGAAAAACATTCAACTGAAAAACACTTACAGGCTCTGTTAAAGTCGTATCTTTTTCCAGGAACTGTACAACACAATAGGCGAGCTAGAATGCAAGTCATATGATTATTTAGTTTAAACAGACACTGTTTAGACATTGCAGCGTAACTAAATATCACAACTTATAATGGAAGCACTTCAGATCAGGAGGGGGGAAAAACCCAACCCCAAACACCCCTACAGAGCCATTTAAAATTCTTCCAAACTAAACAAATCAGCAATTAAAGCATCAAGATACACAGGCCTGCCCTATCTTACAAAAACTTCCTGCATACCAAAATTATTATTTTTTTTTTCTTCTTAGAAGAAAATTACTTTTAAGCTTGATGGTTTATTTCTCTAACTCGGATCCAGTACCCAGACAGATTTTTCTCAACATCAATCCCTGTACTAACATTAAAAATCTATCATTTTCAAACATCTACATTGCAGTAAAAAAGTTATACTTTCAATCAAAAAAATGTTTTAAAACAGAGTTGACTGAGCACACATAGCTCAGGTACTAGACCTCTACAGCGTGCAACGTTCTCTGATAAGATGACATGTGAAAGAATTTCCATGTGTTATATGGCCACAAGAGACCAGGCAGCACCTGTCCAGCTGAGTGTCCCGTCGCCAGCCACGGCCAACAACAAATGCCTGTGCAAGAGCGTGAAGAGGGGGAAGCAAAAGGTGATTAAGTCACCAGCACACTCTCCCAGCCTCCACTGATTTCTGTCCAGGGGTCTTCTGAGGCCGAAGTGTGATATTATACGTTATATAATTACTTATTGTTTAGTTACTTAGCACATTAAGTAACTAAACAACCATACCTCTGCCCAGACAGAAACCATACAATAACCCTATTACTAGAGCAGTTACAATCCTGGATTCCATTAAGACTGATTTTAGGAAGTCACAGTATTTGTCATCTCAAAATATAAAGTGATGACAAAAGCCACTTAGATGTAATGCATGGACATTTCAATACTTAGGATACTCAAATCCAAGCATTATCTTTCCTTTTTTTTTTTTTTAATCTGTTATCCCAAAGCAGATAGTTGCAATACTGTAATTACAACATGTCTAATTTATTTCTTTTACCCATAGGCTAAGGATGCATATGTGTAGATGCAAAAAATAATATCACACAATAGTCTCATAAAACCCCATTATATGTTGTACAGTAATGCGTTATGTTCAAAGACAAAGACAAACTTAATTCAGCTTTAAGGCTTCAACTTCCAAGGGCAGGCTGAACTTGTACTGTAGCAACAAAGCAACCGGCCACTCCTGATTGCAAAGCAGATTTAATGCGAGTTTACACCTTCAGGATAATATGAAACCAGAAATGCGCGGTGCTGAAACTGCCCATGGCACTAGCGGCTTATGCAGGATCGATGAGTAGCCTGGTCAGCACACCAAACGCTACTTTCAGGTACACATTACAGCTAAACTGACAGGACCCCTTCAGATCAAGTAGCTTGCTGTACTGGTCTGTCAGTGAGAACACCTTTGGCAAGTGATTGGTCCCTGTCACATCACTGACTCACTCCATGGAGCAGCCTATCGCATCGCAATAAACCACAAATGATTTAATTAAAACTTTATATGAGAATTAGGAGTTAACTGAGCTCTTGACTTGATCCTGTTTGTACGCTATATAGTCATAATGATTTCACTTTAATTAGAAACTCATTTCCTTGTATCGTTAGACTATAAGGAGCTGTATTAGCGAGCAAAGTTAGCAAAGCAAGTTTTTTAACTAGCCACGGCAGAATTACTTGCAAGTTTGCATCAAAGGTATTCAATACTCAAGTGCCATATGTCTGGAAAGGATATACATTACTCCTCAAATGAAAAGCTGCACATCTGCGCAAAGTATGAGAATGGAAGTCAAATAAGGAACTGCAGCATTCTGACAGTGTGTCATGGTTCTGCATAATTTCTAGCTGATCCAGAGAGCTACTAGACATTTCTGCCATTTATAGCCAACATTCTCCTCCCCTCCCCATCACTGGTATGGTTTTAAAAATAAAAAAAGCACTTCTGAAATAAGCACCTGGCCATACTGAAGGTTCCTTTATACACTGCATTTAGGTTACATAAAGGAAGTGGGAACAGCACAAGGTTCTGGGATTAAATGAAGCTTAAAGTGTGACAAGACTAGCAAGCAAGAAAAGCTTCCTACTCCAGCTGACATGACTTTGACTTGCTGTTATATTCTTTCACTTTTAATGTATGCTAAATATGATCTCAAAATTAACATTTAGACATAAGATCTGTAAGATCTTTAAAAAAAGTCACCAAATTTATAATATCAATATTCCAAAATACTTGTAACACATACTGCTTTAAATTTCATCAGTTTCAAACACAAATACAAAAAACCCCACCACTCTTAAAAATAGGCAAAAGCTTACCTGTGCGTGAAACAAAGCTAATCCCTTTGCAGTATGCATGGGAATCAGAACTTTCATAAGGAACTGTTTGTGTTCTGCTTTCAGTGGCAGGGCAAAACCATTGATAATACTGAAAACATGAATAAGCAGGATTTATTTTTATTAAAAAATAATTAATTTTCCTAGCAAGTCAAGAATTTTTGTAAAAAAAACAAAACTAAAAGACAACTAGATGACATACAATTTCGAACTATTTTACCAAGGCAGTTTGAATGTTTGTTTTGAGGTTGTTGAACAACCTTTCCCTCCAAAAAACAAACTTAAAAAGTTGTCTCATTGATTCAGTAATCTTATTTTTATAAATTCTTATTTTTAAAAGTTGATGAGTTGTAGAACAGACAGAAGTCCTTCAGTAAGGGGTTGGGGCTTCCTCCCCCACCTCCCCTACATTTTAGATGCAAGAAAAAATTGGTATCCCTTTCACTTGATTTTAATGAAAATTTGTTCTACAATAGTTTCACAATGTTTGTATTTCCAATTAGACCAGTAATATTTATAAAATTTTCTGCTGTGAAATATGTGTGACAGTTTCGGAAAAACAGTAAAATACTGCCACAAGAAACTTCAAAGTTAAAAATCAAATTAGTGAAACAGTGTCCAAAAAAACCCCTAAAAACCCCTAGCACTTAGAAGGCTTTCCTGAATAGAATGTAAAGACAACCCAAGCTGACAAAGATTAAAGCATTTCATTCAGCATGAGGACAAAAGTTAACATTCATTTTCTGAATCAAAGAACACGTCACCTATCAGGTAAGATAAGCAGAAGCAGATATTCCTGACAAACAAGGACCCTTGAGAAATATTTTGCAAGTCATCTTTAAACTTGCACTGAAAAAGAAAAATTATTACTCTATATCCTAATTTGATATTCAGATGGTAACCCCAACAGTATTAGATTATATCAGTGACTGCACTTCATCACATTACTGTAATAATTCTCTTCCCCCCTCCATTTCCAAAGCAAGAAAGCTGAAGTAAACACCCACAATAACATTTTATATTTTTTCCTGTGTCAAACTTACCTTCCTAATATCTCAAGAAGTTCAGCAACACCATTGAAGTGCTCTGTTTCATATATAAACCTGTTATGAAAAAAGACAACCATTAAAAAATCGAAACAGAGGATCAGAGGTTTCAAATAAATAACCTGAAATAACCTTTGAAATATTTGAAAGCCAGATCACAGACCAAAACCAGGTCTTTTATTTCAAGAATAAATCACTGCAGACCCAGACCACGAAGGCAAGAAAATATTCCTCAACCTAGTCACACACACATATACATGTACAGCATACCTGAGGAAAATGTTGTTAATCTGTTTCCTGATGAATGCTCTTAAACCAAGGAACTTTCCATAAATTCGATGAAGAACTGTCTTTAGGAAATCACGTTCCCGTGGGTCTTCACTATCAAAGAGCTCCAACAGCTTTAAAAATTAAATTGAAATGTATTACTTTTGAAAGACTTGAACTTTGTTATGTTACTAAGTGATTCAAGTTTTGTTTTTAATTTACAGGTTTACATTAGAAAAATCATAATAAATTTAACTAAAAAACTTTGTTTGGATGTCCATATTTTATTTTCAAAATCAGATTTTTAATAAAGATTATTATTTAAAAAAACAAAACCAGCAGCTTCATTCTCTTCAGAAGCCTGTATACAACGGACATCAACACCATTCCAACAACTATCACACTATCAAACTAAAAATGAAACAGCCACTCCTCCCAGTTTCGTGTCATCAGCAAACTTGCTGAGGGTGCACTCTACTCCCTCATCCAAACCTTATCAAACCTTAGTAAGTGTTTTATACTTGGTCTTTAAGAGATCAGAATGATTAAAATCTGTGTCAGATATTTACAATTTTTAATTAAAATCCTGTACTACTCATCTCAAAAAGCTACTTGTGTCTTGACGATTAACCAAAAGCACCATTGTTTGCAGAATCATTTTGCAGGATAAGTGGATGATAAGACCATGCATATTTCTTCAGGGGGAGAAGGAGAGATAAATTTAAGAGAATGATAACACATTAAAAATAAGCTGTGGGGAAAAAAAATTAAAAAAAAATTGAAAAATCGCTGCAAGCAGAAGTTGTTTCATTTCTGTCCAAATCTACAAACAGTATTCCCTGCCCTCACCTCCTTCCTTTTAAACACACCTTTTACATACCCCCACCCCCATTTTCCTTTTATATATTCTGTGTGATTAACATGTTTTTGTTCCTGTACAGGAAATTTCACAATTAATTATTTAAGGGGGGGGAATAAACTAAGCAAAGATATGTAATTATTAACTAATTATCTGCTAATACAGACTAAATGCCACAACGAGCTAGGTAAGATTTTCCACACATTTTTTTTCTTGTAGAAAGTTTTCCAAGGATAGAAAAAAGACCATACTCACTTGAAGACATCAAAAGATATCCCAATCCCTTACAGACCATTATTTTATTTTTTTTCCCCTTGTATGTCCAAGTAAGAGCATATTCAGAAACGTCAACTGCGCTAAACAAGTTCCTAACTTCGCTCAAGCAGTCACCACAGTCTCCTGCTCAGCCCAGGTCTGTGAGCTCAGGTGTGTCTACACCAAGCAGCACTTGGGACTGGAAACAGCCATTCAGGAGCTTGGTTCAGGCTCATTTCATTTTTATATTTAGAAGGAAATTCTCTGGGTCACTACTCCACTCTTTTTTTCCATATATAGCTAGCTGTTCATTGCATTGTTTTGCTTGATCTTTCTCTAGAGCACAAGCGAAATGTCAGGAACCAAAATTCTGCAACATGGCTCTTAAGTGCCATGGGGCAATTAGTAAATTGGATAACCCTGGCCAATAATACAGCAGGAGCTTCAAACCTAAATTTTGTGGGAAAGTTGAATAAAACAGAGGAGGAAACACCTATAAACAAGAACAGTAAAACCAAACAAGGGGAAATTAAATGCAGTCACTGAAGGTGGGGAGGGAAAGTGTCCATCCATGTTTTTATTTTTCATCACTGTACTGTGATGGCCTGCCAGCACTCACTCTTCAGATACTGAGCTTTTTCTTGACAAATAAGTATTTTGACATAACAAAAAAACCCAATATCCCCACCAAGTTAACTTTGAACAAAAATTGTTATGGTATTCTACAGCATAATTCCTTGAGAAGTTACATTTAATTTGAAATCTCACTTCACTTTCTTGCTCATAGTTACTCTGCATGGTGAAGCATCATTCTCCTATATACTTTCTTAGTTGATTTTCCTTCTGTGGTTAAAACACGGATTGTAAAAAGAACACCACTATGTAGTTACAAGTTAGCAGATGTTGGAACACATTTCATGTACAGTAAGTACACGAACTTTTTAGAGCAAAAATGTTTCCTCTAAGTTTTCCCATGATAAATCTACGAAAAAACCACACATAAAAGCACTACAAAAATTTAACTAGCACATTGATTTGACTGAAGTTACAAATCATTAGAAACACAACTTGTATTTACAAATTACAAATATCTTGCATGCAAAGCACTGATGTTGATACCTGAAAACCTGAAGTTACTAATTCCATACAGCCTGTGTGGTATGTTTAGCATTTGGCAGAAGCCACTGCTGAAACAGCCAAAATTTAACCCTGTATCAACATGAAAGCTTTAATATTCTCCTTAACTGTACAATCATCTGGTAAGTTAAGCTTGAGAGATGATCTTTAAATCTAGGGGTGGGAAAACTCTCTACTTACCTGCTGTACAAATTTCTGGTCAATATATCGCTTTGCAATGCTAGGCTGAAAATCCGGGCTCTCCAAAAACCTCAGGAAAAATTCATACACCAACTACAAACATTGAAATGAAAATTTTGAAGTTAGTAAGTAAACCATAACACAGAGCTCAGCCCCACGACCACCACAAAGTCAGTGGGACTATTCACATGCTTAAAAGGTACAAAGGGAAACTGAAGCCTAACACATCACTGCTTGATCACAGCCTCTACCAGAGTTTACTGCAAGAATTACAATAAGTATTAAGAACACTATTTATTAAGCTTTGGCTCCTCTGGGAATTAATCTACTGAAAATATCATTATTAGAAAAAAAACAAGTTCTAAGTATTACATATATTCACATTTCCTACTATATTAAGAATTTATTATGTAAAAATAACTTACCAAACACTTATCAACACTGAGGGTAAAACTAAGTGCTCTAACATTACCTAAGTCCTTTAACAGATGAAGAAAAATCCACTAAGTGTTCCTGAAATGAAGTTTCAGCAGCAAACTACAAAAATTAAGAGTCATATTAAAACGCTAAATGAATACACAGAAACACACGAGCTTGGCTTAACATTAGGTTTCTGTATCCTGGACACTCAATTCGAACAGCAGGACCCTCTTCACCATCCGTTATATTTGGTAGCATATTATTTCTATTGAGTTCAAGTCCCCAGGAGCTGCGATCCCACAACGCCCACAGACGGAAAACAGACAGGAAAGAGCTAGCGAGGGTCTGAGGCAGCAGAGAGAGGCTCGGAGAAGCCAGAGCACAAGCCCCATCTTTTGGGGTTCATCAGAAAGAAGTCCAAGACACAAAACACTGCACTTCCACAAGAATGACAGATTTATAAAAGACAAAGCATCGCTTAACTAGGACAGAATTGAGATGAAAGGCAACTTGTGTTTAGATACATTCAGGGCTGCTTATGTTGCCCATGCCTATTTCTTAACTCCATGTCAGTTGAACAATTGATTAGTAATAACACTAAAATGCAATTTAAATGCATACAGACATCACTGACTGGACTGCTAAATAAAACCCACGCAGAGCTTTGGTAATACTCACAGGCATGTATTTCAACTAGTATCACTGAGTACTTATTAAACAGAGCCAACACCTGAAGAATTCATAGTTATAATTATGAAGTTCACTTGAGAGAAGTGCTTGACAATAAGCACTTTTTATCTAGAACATTTATGATGACAGTTACTTACACATAGCCTCAAGGAGGGTATGCTGTATCTGCAAAGCAGAAGCTCAGAAACAAGTTCCCCTTCACTCTTTCTTCCCCTCTGACAGACTGTAACACAAGCTTTTCATGTCAGCAGCTTAAATGTATACAAATTTCATCTAACAGAACTGTATTAAAACCCAAGCTTCTCTGTACAGTCTTTGTCTTCTTGTGCATAAACACAATAGCACACCGTTGCACAACAGATAACACAGGACAGAATTTTTTTAAAGCTTGGAAATAGTAATCTGGCACCTATCACCTCTCTGGGCAACCTGTTCCAGTGTTTCACCATCCTCATCGTAAAAAATTTCTTCCTTATATGTAGCCTGAATCTACCCTCTTTCAGTTTACAATTATTACCCCTTGTCCTATTGCTACAGGCCCTACTAAAAAGTCTGTCCTCATCTTTCTTCTAAGCCCCCGTTTAAGGACTGAAAGACCACAATGAGGTCTCCCCAGGGCCTTCTCTTCAGGCTGAACAACCCCAACTCTCTCAGCCTGTCCTCGTACAGGAGGTGCTCCAGCCCTCTGATCTTTCTTGTGGCCTCCTCTGGACCTGCTCCAACAGGTCCATGTCCTTCCTGTGCTGAGGACCCCAGAGCTGGATGCAGCACTGCAGGGGGGGTCTCACGAGAGCAGAGGGGGAGAATCCCCTCCCTTGACCTGCTGGTCACCCTGCTTCTGATGTAGCCCAGGGCACGGGTGGCTTTCTGGGCTGCAAGTGCACATTGTCAGCTTTTCATCCACCAGTACCCCAAAATCCTCCTGCGCAGGGCTGCTCTCCATCCCTTCATCCCCCAGCCAATCTTGATACCAGGGGTTGCCCCCACCCAGCTGCAGGACCCTGCACTTGGCCTTGTTGAACCTCGTGAGGCTCACCGGAGCCTACTTCTTCAGTTCAACTGAAGCACTGCCATTGGAAATACTAAATCAGGCAAGAACTGCTGGATTTAGACGCTTTGGTTCTCAAAATTGATCTGCTTGGGTCAAAGAGCTATGAAATGTAACTCCTATTACTTTGGTGATTCAATCTTCTTTCTTGCAGAGACCACTAGAATATTACTGCTTTAAGCTACCAATTCCACCAACTCTGCAACTCCCCAAGCTTCAAAATACACAGCGGCTTCGATGCCAGCCTGTTCAACCTCATTTGGCTGTTACAAACCGTCTTGAGTATTGCTTTAAAGCAATGGCTTTCAAGTGGCACTCACTTTATGGAAGCTCTATAGTCTTTTGTTGTGACTACACACCCTGGTAACTTACTAAGCCATTATCTATCATATTATTTTACAGAGAAACGCGAACAGATTCAACCAGAGAAGAGTAAAGATGGAGATTTTTTTTCTTTTCCCTCCCAGAAAACTAGCTACCTGACAGCCGTGTCAGGATAGAATTCTGAGTTTGTTTGCAACTGAGCATCACAAATCACAGCCAGCAAAATATCCCCACCCCCCCTCCCAGCAGTTCTTTAGACTATAGTGAAAGTAATAATGGGTTTTGATGTTATGGGGGGGGATTGGTGTGTTCCTCTATGCACTAAATTTGCCACTTCCAGCCGCCTTGTGCTCCTGGAGAGCAATTAATAAGTTATCAAACTCCATCTTCTACCATCCAGTAGCACCTGAACGGTAAAAGAAAGGAAAACACAAACTGTCTCCATTGTGCTGCAATGAGCAACCTGTTCAAGGACAGGACGAACAACTGATGCAGGAGTGGGAAATCCACAATCAATGATCAGACAGCCAGCCCAAACTAATTTAGAAAAAGGCAAATGAAAAAGCTGGAAATAAAATTTCAAATACCACCACAGGCTACAAACTTTTCAGTTTCTCTTAGACAAGCCCGAAGCACAAGTGAACAGGTTGCAGAAACCACAAGTCTTTTTCTAGAAGAAGAACTATAGTTTACTGACAACCTAAAGTGAACTGAGCTAACATTTACAAATTTTACTCCTGAGAGACAGAGGCACTTTGAAGTCAGATGCTGCTGCTACTATGAGAGACATTTGCATAGCCCTTGCACCCTTCGACCTTTACAAAAATCACACCTCTCATCGTTCTCCTACAGCCATATACAAGTAAGATAATTATCACAGCCTTTACCCTGCAGAGCTATTTTTTGTGAGACTTGTTTCTTACTTGGTTTAAGTCTCAAATACTATCCTGAAAATGAACTTTTTATAGCCAATGCTAGTAAGTCCAGTTTTTAAAGATGAGCATTCCTTGATACCTTAGAACTGTAATACTATAGAGACAGAGCAGCATTTTAACTCTCTTGAGAGGTGAGGGACTGGTATGCAGATGTGCAGTAGCTATTAATCTACCCACTACGAGGGGTTGCTACATAACCTTTATTTAACAGATATTGCTTAAATTCAGCAACAAACTACCTGAGATATGAACTTCGATGATTACAAGTGATTTAGGTTTGTTCAACTTTCAACAGTTAATTAAAAAAAATAAAAAAAATCAGCAGTATTGCAAGTCAATCACGTGATTGATACAGCAGTGCTATAAAAATCACGAGATTGGCACAGGAGCGCAACAATAGAATAACTAACCAACTGTCACCAAATAACAACGCCTATATTGTAAAGTTTTTGCATGAAGGGAGGGAAGAGGGTGGGAAGAACGAGGAGATATCTATTTCTTGCTCAAAAGACAAATAAAGGCTGTTACTCCATTTTTTGTTTGTGTCACAAGAAACCAAACCGTTAACATCCACTTATATTTTACTAAAATCACACAAAAAAGTTGCTCAAGTACTGAAAACAAACCTTTTGAGTAAAGAACATAATTACCTAAAATAGCCATGTACTTTTAAGACATACATATACCACCACACGTTAACAGTGCAATCGCTCCATTAAAAAAAAAGAGTATTTAAGCACCTTGGAAGACTTACATTCTGCCATATTCATACACATTAAGAAAAGCATCTCTTTTCCCCTCCCAAGTAGAGAAACTCAATTGTACTATAAAGGCAATTTTGGCACTCTTACCAAAGGCAAAAAATGACTCAATTATCCATGCACAGTTCTTGCCTTACATGGGGGCTTGAAAATAAAGGAATCGCATACCTGTATGTGGGGCCATGAGGCTTCGAGAGTTGGTTCATCTTCTTCTGGATCAAAATCTGGGTTATCACTAGGTGGAAGTGTTCTGAAAATATTAGAACTAATCTGCAAGAGAAAAAAAATTAATTGTATCACTTCTTATGCTTCCACAGATCACACTCAGCAAGGTACTGCTTTTATCGTAAAATTACATGAAATTAAACCATTTTTAAAAAAAGTAACATAATAAATCACTTTTACTCTTTGGATTTAGCAGTTTTGAAAAAAATAAACAGCCAAAAATCTGAAACAGGCCAATGAAAATAAGAAAGTAACTTTTGTCTCAACTGTTCTACAAGTTTGTAGCAAGACATGGGCATATTTATTCTTCTCTGAAACCACCATGAAGAAAGTTGAAAGAAAATTTCAGTTTCCCCTTACAATGACCAGTTTTCAACTATGTGACACCAGGAGCTGAGGTTTTATATAAGACAACAAAACAGTATGACTAACCAATTATGATTTAAACAGAGCTCTCTTCACGTGTAAAGCAGACAATCCCCAAAATAATCTAACGTTAGAGTTCGTCACTTGACTTAATTTCAAGATATTTCTCACTTTCAAGTAAGAACTGAAGAACCGTTTACAATTTTTCACCTTTCATAATTACCAGATTTCAAGGTTTTGGGAATTCAGAAATACATAACAATTGTAACTTTTTGATTTAACACAGAGCAGCTTTAAAGAAACTAAGAAAAATAGCTACCAAGTGACATAGTCATATCAAATCAACTTCAAAAGGGCCATGTTAAAAAGGCTTCTTCAGGGAATTTTGAAGTACACAGAACTCTGGGTAGAAGATCAATCTTTCAGATGCCAGAAGAAAAATAAATGTAATCTCTTCTGCCAGATGTAACACACTGGATTTTAAATCTCTAATATTAAAAAAGAGAACATGAAGTTGACTTAATTTCTGTATTTTCTACTGTTTTTTCAGGAATACATTTATCCCAACTTTTCCAATCATCTTTCAAACTCTTTTGACTTTTTGCTCAAATCTCTTTGAAATAGCTGCTAACCACCCAAGCCTACTAAACACAAAAGAAAATGTCTGACAGTCTGCAGCAAATGCTACTGCACAGCTTCCATAGTCTCCAAAGGCGTCTGAAGGAACTTCAGACTTTAAAGATCTTCAGGACTTTAAAAGATCCTGAAGTCACCCAGCTGGCTCTGCATAGAAGAATCAGCTACCTCATTAAACAAGATATAAAGCTATTGCATAAACTGACTTTTCATTTCCTCCTGCGCGCTTCATTCTATGTCCTGTCACTGTCTCCTGCTGCTACATGGTAAAGCTGCAGATGCTGGTGAGCTAGAGGAGAAGGGCAATGGTGTTCTAGTTTACTGCACAGCAGAAAACAAAAACAAACAAACAACAAAAAACCAGTACAGTTGTCCTTTAATGTTGTAAACATAAGGGACTTGGGATTCTGGAGCACAAGAGAAACTGGCTGCAGAGAGAGGGAGGGGAAAATAGGTGTCAGAGAATGTGAATTTCAATCAAGCCCAAAAACCAAGATAACAATCCTGGTTCTGTTACTGGATACTGTCCACTCTTACTACATATTCAACAAAAAACATCCAACATAAAAATCAGTCCCCTACAGAGACTTTCCTACCTCTGCTTACAAGTCTTCTGGTAACCTCTCTTGAAAATGCATCCTTTTATTTCTAGACACATCTTGCTGAACTGAACCAGTCACAGAACAAAAAGGTCTCAAGTCCAAAACAAAAGTATAACTACAGAGCATACTTCTGCAGGAGAAACAAATAAGCAAGCCTCTCAGACAGATCTTTAGAAAACTAATTTTATGATTTTCTGAATATTCAGTACTTCTACTAGCATTATCAGTCTTCTGAGAAGACATGAAACTTAAACTGTGTACCATTTTTATGTACTAGCCTGTCTCTCTAAAAAAATGGTTCATTTACTTCTTTATGTTTGAAATACTTTTGCTTCCTGCCTCATTTGCTTCTTTCTAATGTTTTGATAATAGTATTGACAAAGAATGTGGTTTGGGTTAAAACCTCCATTGTTTTTCAATGGGTAAATTCTTCTCTACCCTATATCCTCTCATACTATTTAAAACATCCCTCTTCCTTCGTAAGTGGTGTCTTATCCCAAAACTATGATTTGAGAAATACAAGTCACAAAAGGCTTTTATAGCTAAATAGTTTTCCAGAGAAACCCAGCATTAGCTTTCTAAATTAAATCTCACAGTTTTGTGAAAGTTACATCTAAAATGTGCAAGCTAATGTATTAAGATACAGCAATTATATTTTACTAAAACAAACAAACAAAAAAAATGGAAAAGAAAAAAAGTCCCTTATTGTCTTGACACTTCCCAAGGAGCTAAGCATTTGGAGAAACAGTAAATTCAATTCTAATTTCTGAGTGTGTGGATAGGGATGCCTGATGTTTTTTTAAATTCTGAATTCACAGCTTGTGTAAGCTGCTAGGACAATCTCATTTACACTGGATTTTTATATGCTGGTGATGAATACGGGGAGCTGGCAGACACAAGGAGATGGAGAAGTAATATGTACTGGAGGAACATTTCTGTTACGCTCCCAAACCCGATAAAGGCCAGAGCCTTATAACTTCCTAGGAAGTTTTAAAACTTAAAATATTCACAATGCCAAAGCCTAATTTGATGTTAGCTTCAGAGTACTTTCAACTGAGAATTTCCAAACAGAGAAGACACTCATTTTAGACAACCTAGAAAGGAGGTGAATGGACCACTATGCCAGCCCTTTGAAACTATTTAGAAGCAAAACTCTTCCTCACTTCTTAATTCAAAGGCTTTGGCAAAGGAATTAGAGGAAAATCAGGCTGCCTGGGGCACAAAAAAAAATAACCTACAGCATATGTCCTCTGCATCTGCCTAAACAAATATAGATAATTTTTTTTTTTATGACCCTGTTCCATCCTTGGTGGCTTGAAAAGACATTAGTATAATTTCAGTCAGTGCTCCCTACCTCAGGATCCAAGCAGAGCAGGGACAACTACATGAGCCATTACTGTGTGGTACTGGCTCAGCAGCTATCATGGTAACAGAGGCCATGTGAAGGGAAGGAATGCTGGGAGACCTCCTCACCTGCACAGACCTTGCCTATGCACTGGTCTGGAACAACATTTTTTTCCTCTTGGTATCTGTAAGGGATTGTTGACTTTGCCTCCCCAAGACTCAGGCGACTCCAAGGAAACTGGGCTGCTTCCTCTGCAAGCTGGAGGAAAGGTGTCCCAAGCCTAGGGAAAGTTTTTTTTTTGGAAATAAATTGGCTGTGCTTCTGACACTGATGCCACTCTGGATTTTTTCAGGGAATTTTTGTTGTCTGTTCATCCTTCTCTGCTACTCAAATGACAAGTTGGGTTTCACTAAGGTCATTTTCTACTTTTTCATCACAAAAACACTATCCTTCAAACTGCAAAAAACTCAAAATGCTTTTTCTTTTAATGTCATAACACTGAACAGACTAAAAAAAAATAAAATCTTTTAAGTCTCACTGAAGTTTTACTACAAAGAAAGGCCTCAAGCCTGATGCACACATGTTGTTTGGAGGAAGAGACCCATCCAGAGCTCTTTCTGAAACGTGGTACTTCGTCCTAATTCACAGCAAAGACCTTTTCTGCTGCCAGTTGCCAGGGAGACTAGAAATACTATTCAGGCTTGGAGGGATCTTTTGTCTCAAGCTCTGAACAAGCTCTCACTGAGCATTTAAGGCCTTCTTCATTTTTCTGTCATTTTAGGGGAGAAAAGGGCAAGAAAATTTATTATGAATAGAAAAACAAGCATCCACACAGCCCAATCATTTGCACCACAACAATAACCTCAAAAGAACAGCTCAGCAACACCCTATCTCCAAGAAAAGAAAACTCCAATACAAAATAAATTCTCCCTTCAACAAGTATGATAAGCTAGTTTGTATACCCTTTCTTCCAACAAGAGGCTAGAGAGGGCACACAGAGTAAGAAAATACTGCAAGGATTCAGGCTTGCTGCCACCAGCAGCCAAAAGAAGAGGTGAACATACTCTGTCCTTTATTTTCTTGTGTAAAAAACACTCAGGACAGAAACACAGGTCCTTGAGAAAGCAAAGCTACACAAAAAACCCCAGTGTCCTAGATCTTTTGTGAAACTTAATAAGCATCTGGTGAAACAGCCAAAACGATTAAAAGGGTTTCAATAATCCTGCCCCTTCAGCATAATGGCAAAATTTCTATGCTTCTTAACATTACACATCTGACCTTCCATATCAGCTGCTCATAGAAAAAGAAAACAAAACAAACCCGAACAAAATCTTAAGAAAAAATAGCTTGCACTGTATAGAAAACTACAAAAGTCATAGGCCATATGTTTGAACTGGCCTGCTTACGTTCCTGATAGTTACTTTTGAAGTCAGCATTGTGCCTATGTAAACTTAACCAAAGTTTAGAGAATCATTAGCTTAAATGCACGGGCACTAAACATTCTTTTTACATTTCGAATTTCTAGCAAAAACTATTTTATAATATTTCAGATTATTGTCAAATGTCCTTCAGTGGCATTCCTTGTACATAGTGTATGGGCGTGTCTAAAACACCACTTACACAGCATTTGAAAATGCATTTTAAAAACCTGGGAAAGTCAGCAGATAACAACCACAAATATTTTGTTGCTTATTCAACAAGCCATTTGTAGAAATTGCACAGTACAAGTCATCCTGTGGTTTACAACTCAAGCAAACCACTTAGACTACTCTACCACAACTCTTCAAGGCCAAAACAGTAACAAAACAGCCCTATAAAGTATTTACAAAGCAAAGTTGCTTTCTTACACCGAGCAACCTTTCTGTTGACACTAGTACCCGCAAGAATCTTTACCAGAAAACTCCTGTCACACCACTGCCATTCTTAAATAAATGAAAAGAGGCAGCACTGAAATATTGCCATTTTCTGAATGAGAACAACTTCAAAGCTTACCCAGACTGCAAGCATCTGCAATGTACCAGTTCTTTCATTTTAATTAACCCAAATGCATCATATTTCAGCTAATAATTAAAAACCTACGAGTTGTTTGTTTTTACAAGCCTTTCTAAACAATCTTGTAAGCCAAATTATCATTAATGAATTATATTGTATAAGCAGAATAACCAACAGCAATTCTGAGGTAGATGCCATCAGAGTAGTAAACTGATTAATTTCAGATATTTTATTCAAATTCAAAATATAACAAAAGCATTCTACTTACCATTTTCACTATGTCAGCATAAGCTGACTCAACTATCACTCCACGATTTGTTGAAACGTATTCAACCAGTTCATTCAGTGTTGCTCTCTTAATTTCTTTGCTTTTCAGGTCTGAAACAGAGTCCATGAAGTCAAAGAGTACACAACACTGTTGCAACTTCTGACAGAAAAGATCTTGCTGTTCATTGAAGGTGGCATCTATAAAAGACAAAAAACGCACCAAACATTTAAGTCTGTAGAAGCAAACCCAGGATTTCTACATCTATTTTGTTGACTAAAATTTGTACAGCTATCAGTTTTTTATTATGGGGAATAATATGCTTTCTAGTTCGCAAATTAATAAGTAATAATGTCAAAACTGAGAATATCTGTTTAAGTATGCTAGAATGAAAGACCAGCCACTCACAACTTGTGTTTCATACAAGAAATAATAGATAAACATACAGAAGTAAATATATTTACGGAAAACGAGTTTCTGGATTAACTTTGAGATACATGGACACTAATAACTACCAACTCTCCCTCATCAAAAGTCATACACAGAAGCAGTGCATCATACTAACTGTTCATTCATCCGATTTGTCTCATTCTGTTCCCTAATCCTTTATTATGTAACCTGCTTAAAAGCTGTTAAATCTGCTTTGAAGGAACCTTGTCTTTTTACCCCAATGCCTTCACGTACTTCACATACTTTGACATCATGTGATGAATGTCTCCCTTAAGAATCAGCTCCAATATTTCAAAAGGATTAATCCTGAATCTTCATGCTTTGGTCTAAACTTATTACAATCCTAAGACATGTAAAGTTTTCCAGCTTTTTTTTTGGCCTATTAAGACATGTTTGGCTATGACTTGGCATTTTCATTTTAGAGTGCATTTTCTCTATAAGCTGATAAGCAAAATTCCTCCATTAGTATTTCACATTAGCTCTAAAAAAGATGGGATTACTAAATGCAGTACACTTCGACAATGTAGCACATCCTTAAAATATTTTAACTCTTCAAAAGTTGCACAACCACAACAAAAGCAGCCATGGTTTTAACTGAAAAGCTGGTTTAATGTGCTTTTGGTTCTTGTTTTTATATTTGTTGGGGTTCTAAGCCACTCTAGCAACATAGCATCACCTCATCTATCAGTCAGCTGGGATTTCACTTGTTCTGGGGAAAAATTGTCATTTCAGATTTTATCTGCAAACAAGGAATTCTCTCCCCCCTGAAGAATTTTCAAGACCTGTCTATAGCCAGACTACTAATCCCTCAGCTTCATTCGTTCACTGCAGTTCCATCATAAGGAAATCATCAAGACAAGAAAAAGACAACTGCCTTGTAACACTGAGTATTCAAAATATCTCAAGTATCACTTTACAATGTGAACAAATCACAAAAATATCTCATGCTTCTCATTATTTTAGGATTATTCTAATTAAACAAACTTCATATGTTTAACACCTCAATGCCAGTTCCTCAGGTTTCTTACCAAAACATCTTCCGTCTAGTGGCTGGAACACCACCAGTCAATAGTTGTTTTAATATTCAGTAATTATCTGATAGAATTCTTTCGTCTCCATAAGCAAAAAGTAATTACTAAAATGGACTGAAACACCTCCACTAATCTCAACTGCTCGCTCTGTCCTGAAAGTTCAAACACCACAATATCGTCTTGTATTCCCTTCCCCTGACAGTTATGATGCTATTAACTGAGCAAAACAACTTCAGCAAGCTTTTGAAAAAGCTAGCAATTACTACTCACTCAAAGAACAATTAATACTTGTGAATGTTAATTCTGCAATTTTAACTATTTTTTAAAAAATAAAAATCTTGTAAGATGCTTATTCACTCAGATAACTACAAAGACATGAATTGTTACACTCTGCAAAATAATGAACAGCAGCTGTAAAAACATTTGTAAGTTACATAACATTTCAGCTCAGATCTTGTAATATTCTACAGCAGATTGCATGAGTAAGTATTGTATCATAGCAACAAAGCAATAACAGTGACATGCTGAGGATAAAATCCAAAAAGCCTAATTTAAGGAATTGACGCAGGCAGGACAGCTTTTTCTGACGCTAGCCCCAAGCTGATAGCCAGACTCAAACAGAAGTCAAACCTGCTCTTATTTTTCCTCACTACAAACTTAACTATACTACAAGTTGCAAAAGCCCAGCAGCAAGGCACAGCTAATATAGTGTATTTAGCTGACTTCAATAAAACGAAGTATAATTAAGCAACATTTACCTAGAAGTTTCAAAAACCAGCAGACAGCATCTGAATACTCCTAACAGTGGTTAAAACAGACTAAAGACCTAAGATTAAAAGCAAGTAACAGGAATTCAGACAAAATAATCAAATCATTTATTACCTTCCCCAAAACATCAAAGAAACCCCTGCATTAGACACTTTTAGTTAGACATTAGAGTAACAGAGATTGTATCTCTCCTGCCATGCATCACCAGTCCATTTCATTAGCAATGTGATCTATCTCAATTAGACATGTTCTCTCAAATGAAAAACCTGCCCATTAATCTGCTTTGTTACTCTTATCATTTAAAGCAAAACCAAAGGAAGTATTTTCTTCTACACATACATCCATTTTCCATACTTATAAGGGGAATCATAAAACAAAGACATCTGCAAGAGATGAAAATTATGTGCACCAATGGCAATAAATAAGGCAACACGAAAGCCAGTTCTGTTGTATCAGCACTACCTGTCTTCATTCGCTCAATCCCTGCTTGACACACATTTGTCCTGGGAACATTAGAGGTACCATAGGAACCAAGTGATTTGGGAAAATTTGTTGGATAGTGTTATTAACTTTTTAAAGCGTTGTCTTTGACCATCTTTAACTATTCCAATACAACAGAAGCCAGACAACTCTGCACCACAATAAAATCATATAGCAACAGTTTATTCCAATTCCGTGAATAAAATAAACTGTGCCACCATAATTGCTTCAACACTGGAGCTTTTAGCTTTAGTCGTCTGACAACCTGTGGCATGATTTTTAAACCAGTTTCAATTTATTATCTATCAAGATTTACACTATACATCTGAAGTTCAAGATAACTGCTTTTCTTCAAATACCCTAAATACCATAAGGACCATAGGAGATCATGCAGGTTCCAAGTAGACAGTGGATGCCTCAATAAAATAACCCTGTTGACAGGCTGTATGGGGGGGTCAGAGAATGACACCTGAATTCTACTACCAGACGGTCCCTGAATGGCTGCATGTTGTTGGAAAAGACACTTTAGGAAGAAAACAAAAAAGGAAACAAAACATGAGGAAGCCTAAAGCAGAAAAAAAAAAAAAAGGAACAAAGGCACTTAATCCCATTTAGAAGAATATAAAGATCCATACATCAAACCACACCCCAGAAAATGGTCTGCACACAATCCCATGCACGTGATCGGAATACAATTGCCTCAACTTCGCTTCCTAGAGGCTGGTCAACAGACGTGTGATTTAGAAAATTCTTTAAAACCCACTGTTACTTTCTTTGAAAGGTAGGTTGATCTGAGGTCTTTGGGAAGGTACTAGATTCTTAATCAGGTATGATGGCAGGAAATCAGGAAGACAAAAATTTCCATCCAACATCAACAGAGTTATTGTAAGTTACAATCCACTTTAGCCATGACTCTAAGGATATTCATTGCCTCTGGCCATTTCCACTATAGATGGTGTTTATAACTGATGAAAATAGTTCGTTTGATCATTGCACTTCATAATACTGAAATTCCCAACAGACTATTTCTACCATTTACAAAAACCTGATCATTACAAACAGTAGCCACAAAATCAAAGGATAAATACAAATAATGTGACTTGGAAGTTCCTCCTGAGCAGAAGTTATTAAACATTAAAACTGCATGACCATAGAAATTTGCCTCCAAATCAAATGCTTTCGAATTTATAAGGTCATCAATCCAATTCTAAGCATAGAATATTCAGTTAAAAGATTATTTTTTTCAGGGGAGGCCCAAACAAAATACAGATTGGGAAGGATAGTTCACAATCACAGAGCTACCTCACTAGTACATAACTGGAGAGACAAACACTGCCACATCACTAGCCAGGGGACTAAAACATCTTGCCACAGTACGTTTATCTCCTATGTTTATATTTATAGGTCTTTCTCCTGGAAGGAAAAGATAGATACTTCTCCTTTCTCAAAATAATTGTTTACCCAAGACCTTCTGTACAAAGCCATAGAACCTAACATAATCCCTGCTTCAGCAGCAGGAACCAGAATTTAAGTCCACAAAAACTCTCTCAGCTGCACAGATTGGAAGCTCAAAAAACATACTTTCCCTGTCAGTACAAAATAAATCATCTCAAACATTTGCAACAAGTTTCCAATATATTTTTTAATATCTAATTAAATATTGTTATTTTTTCCTGAAAAAGCTACCCCAGGAAGATGCAAAAGCCAGAGACACAACCATGAAGTTTTCCTCTGACAGCCTCTTAAAGCAGTTCACATACAGCCCTTTCAAATGCTTGGAGGACAACAGCATTACAGAATAAAGTACTGCAACTCTCCTCACAGTAAACTGAACTTGGCGGGGGATCCTACACTTCTACGCAATTCCCTGACAAACAGAAATACTGACAGACACAGATGGATACATGGCAAGGATTGGCGATAGTTACGTCACATTCCACAGTGTGAAGTTTAGCCTTCAGTCTCTGCTGTCCAGTTACACTTACTGTGCAATATGCAGCTGTACTCAATGGTGGAGGGATCTGCCAGAGCAGAATGAAGCCCTCACACTGACATGGAGAGAGAAGCACATGTACTATGAGACATTAAATGCTTGGTTTTGTTTGCTTTTTTTTTTTTCTTTCTTTCTTCACATCAGTAAATTATCAAAACTGTTGTACAGCCTGCTCTTTTCAGAGATACCATTAGTCTGGAAAGGGGTTAGTCTGGTAAACTCTGCCCTAGCCTACAAATCATGCACAGGGAGTCCTGCTTATCCTAAATTTAAGATTTATTTTTGTCCTGGGGAGTTCTTGTGTGCATTATTGCTGTGATCTCTCATAGCATCCGCATGTCAGTGTTTATGTTATAGTCATAGCAAAGCACTAAAACTGAGTTTTGATTCAATCGATGGTACAAGAGACAGACAGAGTATGTTTCCAGGTTCTCAGAAGCCTACATCTGCAGCTTGACGGGCAGCAAAATAGCTGGCT